TATTTAAATGATATTCACAAAATTCATTATATTTCTGAAAGAAATGTATATCTCTTAATGATTGGCTCAATTAATCATTGTGAAAGTTTGACTCTATCATTTGACTTTATCTCTGGGTAATCTCACAATGTTTTTCGTACAATGTTTACACACAAACAACATTAATAAATCAAAGTAGAAAATACAATAAAAGTCACAGGTTTAAATAAATGATGTGCCTCACTCACTTTGTTGTTGATGTGTTTGGTCCATCACGCTCTCTGGAGTCCTGAGACTCTCTGAACTCATGCAGCCTCACAGCGACACCAGAGCCTGCCATCACCGAGGAGACTGAGCTGACACCCTTTTGGACTTTAAGACCTGGACCAAAGTCAAGTCCAGACTGAGACCAGACCTGTACAGTTATCAGACTTTAGCATGGATTAACACAGATACAGCTCACTACTTAACCTTTCTTGTGTTTCTGATCAATACATATATGTCCTCACACCTGAACATTTTCTGTGAAATAAAAAAATGCACCATCAGATTTTAGATTTTTGGACAGCTGGCTTGGAGAAAAAAACTTTGCTTAGTTCTCACTTTTGGCTCATGAGTAATTGTGAGGACATTTCTCTCTCATTTTTATTAACAATATTTACAAACCAAATAACTATACTTATTGGAGGAAATCATTTGCAGATTACTCCAGAATGGAAAACAAACATAAGTTGAAATTTTACAGTGTAGCAGTAGTTCTCTTCCTGTAGCAGGATGTGTCTTACACACAGACACAGGAGGAAACCCTGACTTTGAAACCTTTAAAACAATTACAACCATAACTACTTATTATCTGGTATAATAATGAGCTATATTTTCCTTTAAAGGGTATTTTTTATTTTTCCTTAACAGCTCTAGTTCCGAAATATATTCCCAATGCCCCGCAGTGTAACTTTATTAGTTGGAGAAAAAAAAACCCAGCCTTACCTGCAAATGAGAGAAATGACTCCTTACTACTGAAGCCTGTCGTTATTTTGTTTTTTCATAATTTCTGGATATTCTCTTTGTGTCTCTATATTTTCTCTGCAGGAGATCCGGGACAGAGTAACCCAACACTGCACCCTAACAACGGAGCAAACTGACACGAGTAACCATGATCTCTCTAACACAAACAGTCTCACATGTACACACCCACCATACACTCTAAAACTCAATATAATACTGACTGACACATTGTTGTGTGCTGAGTTGTTCCCGTTATTAAAATGAGGAGGTGCACAGATTGCACTCCCCAAAGAGCATGTGGAGAACAAAATCATTCAGAATATGGACCTAAACAACTCGTTTATTACAATAAATGTACTAGATTTTTGCTGATATCTGATAAGACATTATCTTTCAAATCATGTTGATCATTTGTCAATGCCAATACTCATAATATTTTGTAATCTTTTTTGCAGAGACCATCAACTCAACCTTGTAGAATAAATACATTGTACACCTACTCTCATTGTCAGGTCCAGAGGCAGATGTTGCTGACATAAAATGGGCCAAGTGAAAAAAGGTTGATTTTATCTTCAGTTCACACATATTATACTTCTTTTCAACAAGTTGAAATAAGTCTCAGGGCTCCCCAATACATGTCTGTGAAGTCTCTTGCCAAAGATCCACTGCAATCCTGTGTTTTATCATGCCTATAACCCCTCTGTTTCATCCCTGCTCAGAACAGGCTGTTTCTGTGTCTAAAGCTGTACTCCACATTATAAGAAAATTACTGCATGGGATAGACAACTATTTCACATGATAGAAATATAAAAGGTTCTATTTTCTTCAATTTAAAATATTCTAATGTGCATACTGCCACCTACTGTATCGGTGTTGTAGGGCTTGGTAGTAGATCGAGTCAAGTTAAGATTATTTATATAGCACAATTAAATCAACAAATGATGAACATTATCAAATAGAAACAATACAAAAAAAATGAATTTGAAATGAACACAAAGGCTCTGTCACATCCTAGTGTGTTTTACCGGTATGTTGGTGCAACAGCTCAGACAAATAGGAAGGTGCCAACTCATTTCAAGTTTTAAAAACAAGGCATAAAATATTAAACTAGATCCTGAAGCTGACAGGAAGGCAGTAGAGGAGTGATGTGGTCTCAGCGTCTTTTACCAGTCAGAAGCCAGCTGCAATCTGAACCGGCTGTTACCAGAGAGATGACTGATCCACACCAACATACAAAGTTAAAATATCCTAACAAGCTGTAATATACATAGGAATGACACTCTTTGGAGAAAGATATGGCTTTACCTTCCCCAACATTCTCAACTGAGAACAGCTTGACCACCGAGCTAATCTGTTTGTCAAATTTGAAGGCACTGTCAAAAATCTCTGGTGAAGGCTAACAGGCAATGAATACTGTCAATACCATTCAAGAGTTCAGATTCTCTTAACACTATGACTTTTGTTTTGCTATCGTTTAGATGCAGAAAGTTTGGGATTCAATATATTTTAGACAGCTCAGCTAGGTTTGCATCATTTTTTTTTGTTTCGCTAATCAGTCACTCCCTGCTAAGTGCTAAGGCTCTTTAACTCAGAAGAATGCCAAATGGAGCAGCAAGAAATTCAGCCAGTCTCACAGATGACTGGAGTACATCCATGTACTAATTAAAAAATTGACTTTGAATAATGAATCATGAATCCAGAATCGTTTTGAAACGAAAATAGATTCTGAATCAAAACGTGAACCCAAGAATCGAAATCAAGTCGAATCGTGAGACACCCTAATTCCCAGCCCTAGTAGATAGACTTGTAGGTCATCTGCAAAACAATGAACAGTAATGTGTCTTTCAAAAAATGAAGCATGTACAAAGAAAAGAGTATGGGGCATTTAGGGACAGTAACTTTAATGCCAACACAAAGTTCAAGGCGAGATAAAAGAATCCTCTGAAAAGTCAAGTGAGCAGAACTATAGACTCATTTGACTGATATTAAACAAATGTTCGTTTGGGGCATATGGTGGAGTTTATATATAACATGATTTTCTGTGTTGTTCCTGAGCATGAGTAAAATGAGCTCTAGTCTGTTTAAAAAATATATTTTTACAATTTTGTATATATTGGACAATAATGATAGTGTCAGGACTAATGAAGTGAGAGGTCAAAAATGAAAGAGTTACATTTAATTAATCTCTTCGTCTGTACAGAATTATTCATACATTTCCAAATAAAAAGACAAAGAAATATATTTTAACATCATAGCCCAGACAGACACGGTGGGGGCTGGACTTTAAAAAATGCTGTCTATCCCGATGTGAAGAAGTTGGTGTCACCTAATGCAAGTATTTCAGCCTTGGGATTTTGTTTTTATTTTTATTGTTCAATCACCCAAGTTAATTTATATTCTGGGGGTCTGATGGGAAGCATTAGGGGGCCAGATGTGGCCCTCGGGCCGCCAGTTGATGATCACTGTCAGAGTCTATGAAACGTAAAGAAACTATAGTCAATTCATGTTATTAGACAAGATATGAAACAGAGAAGAATTACGATCTTTTATCGTAAGTCTAAAGCCTTAATACGATTTTTTTTAAATAACAGTGATTATTAAACATCATTCAAATTGTTATTTTAATGAAGTAATTTTCACATTAATTCCACATTAAAGTTTTTAATTAGTTTTGAAGTTTATGAAGTATTTTGTTTGTGTTTTTTGTGTGGTAATGAGTTCACAGTATACTCAGACACCTCTGAACAATGTCCATAAAACTGTCTCTTCTCATAGCATGAATTGTTTTGTCACAGATTATAATTGATTAATGCAAAGCAGCATCGGTTCAGTAAGTGTAGCTTTGCAGCCAGACTGGAACCAGGATCCCCAAACAAAGCCTCCATTCACAGGAGGGCTTGGGTGGGAGGGCGGCGGGATGTGGGGGTGATATACATTTAGGTAAGCCGGATAAATTAATAAGGCATAAAAGTCTGGGGGAAAAAAAGGTTTTCAAAATATCCAAATAGTTGGTTTGAGAGTCCTGCACATATTAGGTCTGCACTGGATCAGAGGGAGTGAATAAAACTGTCTGAACTAAATGTGGACACATAGATCCGAGAGAGCGAGAGAGAGAGAGAGAGAGAGAGAGAGAGAGAGAGAGAGAGAGAGAGAGAGAGAGACAACAAAAGCTGGGGACCAACAAAAGCCCTCGATGCCATGAGGAGAGAGATGCTGCATTCATGGCCTCCTCCGTAAAGTCGTGTTTCCTGGTATAGAGGAACACAGACCAAGCCGTTTTTTCATTTTTAAGTGCCAGCTTTAAGTAAACACAAATCACGGGAGGAATGTGTTTTTTTATACATTTCAACTTAATTGTAAACAATGTTACTCTATTTTCAAAATGCAAATAGATACGTAAATATCTCTCAGATGTATTTTGTTATAGGCTACCTGGTAATAAAATTCAGTGTTTAATTTTATTCTTGAAATTTCCATTTTGTTCTTGAAATTCTGACCTTATTCATGATATTTCAGATTTCTACTAAAAACTCATCGTATTTCTCCATTTTGTTTTAAAGATCACAGTTTGGCTGATTTCTATCATTTAATAGTCTACACATTTTATCAATTGAGATTAACATTTGAATCTCAAATAATCTCAAACCAATGACATGTGTATACAATTCTGGAAATTACCTGGATTTAAGACTGAAAAAATAATTTACATTATTTTCCACGGAGATCTTTCTTTGTTACTTTTGTTTGAGATTTATTGGATATACAACTTATTATTTAAAAATGTGAAAATAATCAATGTTGTATTAATGTATTAATGTTTTATGTTATTTATTAAGCGTTTTGTCTTTAATCATGATGATAAAGTGTTTTAACATGCCCCTAATGATGCTCGTTTATGGCCTTGATTTATAGACAAAGTGCTCCAAATCCCCAGTATCAGTCTATTTTCCGGCTGGATGGGTCATTGGGTGTATGCATTTATTTCCGACCGCCCCTGAATGCAGCAGGAGTCCTCCCAGTCAGATCTGGCTGAACGTGACGTGCCGACTCGGAGCCGAGCGAGGTTTCCTTGCGGAGCTGCGGAGGGAGCTGGTGGTGTCCGTCCGTTCTTGTGTCTGTCTGTCTGGGACACAAAAACCCTCCTCTCTTTTCGGCTGGACACGGCATCCGCGGCTATGGATCCATCGCTGTCCTCCTCCTGCTTTCGCCGCTGAGGGACGTTCCTCCGTCGGATGCTCCAGTGGCCATAGAGGAGGGGAAGGAGGAGGAGGAGGGGGCATCCCTATCATTCTTCGACTACCAGGTAAAATAATTATTATAACATGCTTTAACTGGCTCAAGGCAGGATGAGGGAGAGGGGGGGGGGGAAGGAGCGGGTGGGGTCGTGGTTTTTGGGGGAGCGTGGAGCGGGTTTGTCGCGGGTGGGAGCGGAGGTTAGCATACTAGCTAGCTGCTGTTAGCGGAGCTGCTGCTGCTGCTGCTTCGTCATTCGCCAGTCTGGGATGGAGGGATGCGGCGCCGGGATGCTGCTGCTGCATGAGGGAGGGGAGGGCTTGTAATGATATCGGTACCGTCCGTATGGCCTCGGCCCATCTCTGTGATGAACGACCCCCCTGCCCCGAACTCCCCGTTTCCCCCCCTCTTCTTCACCTCCTCCCCGGTCTCCCATCCCTTCAAAAATACTGATGGGAGTTTCATCTCTCTTCAGTGAGACGCTTCATTTAGCTCAGCTTTCAAATAGCTCTTTTTTCACTTCCAGCTTTACACTTAACAATTTAGACAAGTTTTGTAATTTTTTAGACTGCAACCTTCCTTTGATAAAATCCCAGCTGTGTTGACCTGACAGACAGCACAATAGCACTCCATGCAATGTGATATTGCCCAACACACTGCTGAATAATGTTGCTCATAAGATAAGATAAACTTTTATTATTCCACAACAGGGACATTTACAGTGTTACAGCAGCAAAGAGTAAGGATATACATAAAAAAAGAGAGCACAATTACATAGCAGAAGAGCAGTAATAGAGCTGCGTTGTTCAGCCCTTTTAGAGTTGTTGCACACATAGTTTGAGCATTCATGCACCAATTCCATATATTATTGCATGTAAGTATCAGAAGATATTATAATACTATGATATATATATTGTAATCAGGACTGGTTGGGATAGGCAAGGCACTTTATTGTCATTGTATAAAAGAACACAACAAAACTTTCTTTGCAGCAAGCCTGTACATTACAAAATCTGGTCAAATATTAAACATCATCCATAGGTATGTACTTAATAAATATAGTTGATTTGTACATACATATAGATAGATAGATACTTTATTGATCCCGAGGGAAATTCAAAGCATCCAGTAGCAGGTTACAAAGACGTACATGACATGAGACATTTGTTACAAATTAAACCACAAAACTGACGCCCCCTATACATATATATTAACCCCAAAAAAGATTTAAAGAACACCCCTAGATGAATCAAACTTAAACTGTGCAATTAAAAATAGACATATACATATATATATATATATTTAATTTAATCTGCAATATATACTGAGACAAATAAAAACGACATATCAAATGTATCAAATCAAATGTTTTTAGTTTATCTTGCAGTTAGTTTACATTTCAACATCACCATGTAACCATGTTTTGTGTCTGGATAAAAAGGGTCGGATCATCTGCTCCCCTCAGTCACTTAAAAGAATCGACTCGTTCATGGACTGCACATCATTATTCTAAAATGCAGCCTCGCATTTCAGTCTGAGGTAAATACATAAATGGATAATCAGTGATAAGACGTTTTAGTTGATGCAACAAAAAGATGAAAATGGTACATGAACCAGCTCCATCTCCTGCCAGTGACTGTGTGTCGGCCTGCCAGCCAGGCATCCTGCTTGCTAACCGGCTAACATTAGCAGTAGCATCATCCCCCTCCCGCTAGCATCCCTGGCTAGTTCTCCTCCTGTAGCCGAGCCATCAGAGGCCAACCTGGCTTACACGACCGTCGCCCTGACCCGGGCACCCCACACCCGGTGATTTTATCATGAATATGCGGTGAAATAGTCGCTGTCAGATATGTGTCCACGTCTCCAGCGTTGAGATGTAATGGAGCACGAAAGCGGATGTTGTTATGTAACACATAATGACACCATACGCCCTTGAAACAAAAGCTGTTTTTTTTCAGTATTTGTTTGTTTGTGTGCACGGTGCGGGAACCAAACATGCCGGCCAATAAATAAGAGCCAGGGTTTGGGGGGTGTTTGTGGCTCTTAACCGGCTTCCGAAATAGACAGAGGCTGCTCCTGTCAGCCATTGTTTTTGTTGTCATTGGAGGGCTCGCATTTGTTTTCCAGCCTTGGATCTTCTCATTGATTAAGTAAGTGTGTGATGTGCATTGAAGCAACCATCACACATCATGCATTGTTTTAATATTTGGCTCTAAAATGTCATAATGATAACCTTTGTCATTATAGTGACTTTGTTTATTTATTAGTTATAATATATGAAATTGTACAGAAAATGCTAGCCATGAGTATCAGATGAAAAAAAAAAAACACACACATTAGTGTTTAGTTCTTTATAAAATTCAGGTATGAAATATATAATGGATGCACGTAGGGCTGGGCAATATGTTGAGTTTTTAAGATATATCGATATATTTTCAAACAAGATAACGGGTAAGACAACATCGTTAATATGGATATAGTTTATGTTGCATTAAAATAACGGTCACCTTTTTCTCATCTCACTGATGATGACTGACTGTCTGTCTCTCTTAACCCTGCTCCTCCTCTCTCTCTCTTTTATTGTATTTAAGGAACATTTTTATTCTATGATATTACTTTTTAAATTCACAAACAGGTAGTTCATTTTTCCATGTGTTTTCACTGTTAATAAAATACATATCGATATATATCGAGTATCGCCATTCAGCTAAATAATATTGAGATATGAGTTTTGGTCCATATCTCCCAGCCCTAGATGCACGATATAAAATATATTTTTTATTCTGGAATTATTTTGAAACATATTACAATAAAGAATTGATTGGACACATTACTGATTACAGTGGTAGACGGGCCTCTTCAGTATTCTGCAAATTAAAATGCGTTTTTTGTCAATGTAGTCTGGTTGCTTTGAAGGGAGAGATGTAATGTTGGTGTCTGCTTAAAAATAATGGATTTCACTTCAACATAAAGGTTTGTTTCTTTAGGGATGCTTTTCGTTTTTAGACATTTGCAATTACAAAAACATGACACATTGAGTTTGACAAAAAGGTTATCTCATGATGAGTAACAACATAGAGAACTCTGTGATTGATATATTATGAGGCAGTCTTTTCTGAGTCTTATGCTTTAGCACATTTTAAAGACAAGTGACTTCAGAGTTATTTACATGAGGAATAGAAAATCATTCTAATGAACACAATATATTATGTGACGTTTATGTTATTTTTTTGCTTTTACCAGGGTGCAGGGTTGGGAAAAACTATTGCAGAAACATGCCATTGTCTCGTAAGATCTAATGATTGCTATATGAGTCTATAACGCAAACAACTAGAGGCTGTTGTAGACCATCAAGACTGTGTTCTGCAAACTAACTTAACAGTTTCTGTCAGTGGAGTCAGGTGGCTTTCAAAAGAGCAATATCTCAGGATTTTCTGATTCAAACAATGGTTTAAACTTTAAAGGGTAAAAGTGTTGGTGGAGGTGTTGAAAAAGGGCAGATGGGGAGAAGGAAGGATGAAGAGGAAAGTAAGATTTAGTGGATAAAGGGTGAAACAAAGTAGGGAGTAAAGAAATGGACGATGTCGGTGTGGGAATGATTGGAGGAGTAGGGGTGAGTTGGATAGAAGTGTTTTTAAAAGAAAGAGGAAGGGGGAAAAGAAAAGAGAAGGGATAATTTGGCATTGAAAAAATAAAGAAAGAAGTACCATAATTTTGTAGGGGCGGAGGATAAAATGATGGAAGGCCAGACGGGGAAGGAGTAAAAGTTCATAGAGAAGAACTTATGGAGAGAAAGAGAGAATGGAGAAAAAGGTGGGGAATGAAGGGAGTAAAGGACCAGGAGGAGAAAAAGAAGGATATATGGGGGGTGACTGCAAAGAAGGAGAAGCAGACATGACTTTTTGGAAAATAGGGCCAGTGATGTAGTTAAAGAAAAAGTAAGGCAAGAGGAAAACAGTGACGAAGAAAAGAATAAAGGATATAGAAAGGGAGACAAGGGAATGATAGTTTGAAAGGGATGGGACTAAGAAAGACGGAAGAAAGCAGAGAAAGAGCAGGTATAATTAGTTCAGGTAAAAAAGAGTGATCAGTATTAGAAAGAAAGGGAGGTGGCAAGTTGGTGGGAGAGAAGGAGTAAGGAGGGAAGGGACTAAAGAGGAAAGAAAGAATGGATAAGAGAAAATGAAAGTATAAGGGAAGAAGTAGTAAGAAAGAGGGACAGAAAAGAGGGCGAGAGGAGAAGAACCATGGGAGGCTGAAATTGTGAGAAGGAACAGAGAAATCTGGACGAAGAGGAAGAGAGGAAATACAGGAAAAAGGAAAAAAAAAAAAGGAAATGCAGTATAGGAGGATGTGAAAAGGAAAAACGTTTGGAGAGAGTGAAGGAGAAATGAGGAAACAAGAGATGAACAGGAGGAGAAGGACACAAGGAGGGGGGGATATGGACCAGCAGAGGAGAGAGGTAAAGAAGAAACTAAGGGAGAAGTGTAGGTTAAATATGAGCAGATTAAGGATGGACGGATGGATTGGAGGAAAAAAAAGGAAGGAGAGGAGGAGGTTTCTTCTGATTTTCTTGCTTTAAAAATGTGCTGTAATAACATCATGAAGCAGATTTGTAAAAAAAAAAAAAAAATCCACTTTCTTTTTAATTTGTCTTCAAGAAAAGAAGTTTGTTGAATGGAGGTTGGATTGATCATTTCTGATGCATTCCAGGAAGTTGGATAAACTAAACACTGATTGACTTTACGACAGTATTAAGCTGATTGTTCGCACAATGTTTGATCTAAAGTGGATGGTTGCATGCAGTTTATAGAGGTGAATAATTCAACGTCAGATTACTGCTGATGGGAGCCGGGATATCATTACTGTGGATAGTGTTCTGCCTAATTTTGTTCTCCATACAGACTGTTTTCCATGCATACACCAACGCCTGCTGATTAGATTGGTCAATACAATGACCACTAAAGTATGACAATCGGAATCCAGAAAACTTCCCATTCTGAAAATACAGCCTCATGAGTACAGATTCTACATTTTTACAAATCTTTACAATAGAATAGGGAAAGAGTAATGATAGAAAAAGGTTGGAAGAATAGAGAAGGAAACTGGGGGAAACAAAGGAAGGAAAATATGAGAAGATGTGAGGAGCCAAGGCAATGTGAAAAGAGAGATGAATAGTAAAAGAAGGAAAGTGAGGGAAGCAGGGAAAATGGAAACACATTGAGAGAATTAATTGATTGGGAGCAGAAAAAGTAGTTAATGAAGAAGCCAGAGAACTAGAGAAGAAAAATGAGAAGGAGAAATTGTGAGAAGGTATCTAAGGAGGGCAAGTACTGAAGGAAGCAAGGAGGCAGGAAGTGTGTCAAGGCTCTGAACAAGTCTCTGAACAATGCTGTTTTTGCTGTGTGAGGGAAACTATCCACTGACCTGCTCTGTGTGTGTGTTTTCTCCCTTCTCTTCTTTCTCTGCCTTTCTTTCCCTTCAGGCTGACTCACTGCTGGAGCGCCTGAACATAGTAAAAGAAGAGGAAGAAGAAGATAGAGTTCCAGAACAGGATTGAAAGAAAACTAAAACAAGAAGAGAGCAAGAAGGAAAAGGGAGTGAGAGAAGGAGGGGAGCAGAAACCAACCAAAAGAGGTGAAGAAGACAAGGAAGGGTGAGGACGGGGAAAGTGAGGTCAGGTCGGCGGGCGAGAGGAGGAAAGAGAAAGTGATTGTGAGAAAGAGAGAGAATACAGGAACAAGTTCCGAGGTTAGGTGAGACTGGGTGCAGGTAGGACGGAGGTCAAGTGGTCAGACAGAAGGCTGGCTGATTGAGCTTCAGCTGAACAAGCTGTCCCACTAGCACCACCAACCCCCCCTCCGACAGCTGTCCCTTCACCGTCAGCACACTGGGAGAACTGGGAGGACTGGTGACGAGGAGAAGCCACCATGAGCGACCAGAACGTCGTCAAGGAAGGCTGGGTGCAGAAAAGAGGTCAGGTCCATTTTTTCATCAACTAAGTGTCCATTCAACCATGTATACATTTAATGCAGACATTTCACTGGGTCATGCTATTTCATATTTTTGTCAGTGTCAGTAAACCTCATTAAAAGACCAAAAACATCAATGCATTGCTAGGAATAAACAGTAGTGTATCCAAAAGAGGATGTATCTTCTTCCTCTACTGATTTTGCATCTATTGAAAGCCTGCCTTGAATTTTGTGTCAAACCCAACTAGCACACAGGAACTAAAAGTTACAGGTTGTCACTGAATTCATCAAAATAAATAAGGAAACATATATTTTGTAAACAAGCAATACTTTTTCACTTAGCATGGGTATATTTATTCATTGCTGAACACTTTTTTGACGCAGTCAGATGAAACTAAAGCTTGCTGTTAGCTACCCTCAGAATCATTGGTGCCAATTTAGTGGTTATTCCTGATGTATTAGCCTATTACTCCAACATTTTAATACAAGAGAAAAAGAAAGAACAACCAGTATGTTGACCTTGCTGGTGTTACTCCATTTGTTCTTTTAAGTGAATTTACTCTATTGACAACATGGTGTCAGTCAGTTTTATCTGCTTGTGAATTGGGCTGCGCAATTAATTGCAAGTACATCTTTATCCATCGTTGCATACATTTTACCCATTGGATGGAGGCCTTCTTCTGCACACCATCAACATTTCACAAAATACATTGGAAACGTTTTTGTCCTGAAACATTGGCAATGTATTTGTGCAAATTTACAAGCATGCATAGGATATAGCTTAAATACAAAGAAAATTGTGTAAAATAAAATACAGGCAAGTAAGGCGAGTGGTAAAGAGTATAAAGCAGTGAAACTCTGCTTAAAGGCTTTATTTGCGATTTTTTGATCCAGCAGATGTCGCCCTTGAGCACCAACATGAAACCAAAACAACTCGCGCTGCATTGTTGTGTTAGCATGCTAATGCTAGCGATCTTTATTATGCTCGTATCTTCACACTGCATGTAAATTTACCTGAAATGAGCGTGATCTAGAAACACAGTTAAGCAGTGAGTACAGTATGTTATTCTTCTTTTCTCTAGTCCCTCAATTAAACAACTTTTATACTCGAGGGGAGGAGTCAGCCGGCCAACAAACTGAAAATATAACTCTGAAAGCATCACAGACAGTAGGACTCGGGTGTTACACCCATTGTAGACAGTCATGACTCACAGAGTTATTTTCAGAGGATATACTTGATTTCTATTATATTTAAGTGTAAAGAATTGCATATAAAGCCTTTAACGTGAATGTCATCACCAATTCCCTCTCAGTGATTCTCGACAATAACCTGCGCCATCCATACATTTTTCACTTGGTCTTCATATGGCTCTTTTTTTGCTGGCAGGGACAATTGTGCGTATAAGTCCAGGTCAACAGATTCAGATATTTGTATTCTCATATGCAGCCCACCTGGGCACTGCTAAATTTGCAGGAGAGCAGTGCATGTGTGAAAGGGGCTATAGAGAGTAATAGGTGAAAAATTGTTTGTTTATCTTTGCTGTAACATAGGTGGTGGTGTTCGATGGTGTTCGACAAGGTTCCTGTCATTTTTTCCAATGCTTTGAACTGACTGAAAATACAAGATGAAGTATTTTCAGATTAATTTGATGTTAAGGGTGCTATAGTAAAACACATTTTCTTGGTTGTTGAAAACACAGGGCTGAGTCAGAAAAGAGTGTGTGTTTTCTGCAGCTTGGTGTAGACACAGTATGAGTCTGTCTCCCAGTTTGAAGAACAGCACCTCCAAACAATGGTTGTTTACCTGCCAGACGGCGACTGAGAAGGCTGGCTTTGCAGGGCTGCAACCCAGTCTGAGCTGCACTTGGCTGCTGTGTTTTTCTCACAGTGATTTAAGCGTATGTGTGCTAGTGTGTGCTGGAGGTGTGTCTCTGGGCTGAGCACAGGCCTGTTGGCTGGCAGGCAGGGGGAAGTTTGTGGCACTATGAGCAAAAGAGAGGATGACCTAACATTCTGGTTCCTTCCTCTCCAGCCCCTGCAAGTCCCTCAATTGTTTATTGCACCTCCATGTACTCTTTTAATTCATTCCTTACAGCCCCATTAGCTCTCTGGGCTTGTGAAATCAAAACTGTGGGTTCACATCCAGTTCAGCAAGATTTTGAAACTGGATTGAATAAGCGTATCTTTTGAAATAAACCAAAATAGAATGAACTTTGAATTCAAGTAAACATTGCCATTCTTGACTGACCAATAAAAGTTAGTGGATGTTATAAGTTATAACCTGTTTTATTTGTTATAAATGTGAATGGAATGGGCACGATTGACCTGACCTGATCACAAACTGTTTTAAGCTGTTGTTATAAAACAGATTAAAACAGTTATTGCAAAATAAGGCTTTAGAAGGAAAGTTGTTTGATACTAGGACACAGCTGTAAAGTTTGTGGGGACAGTTGAGCAAAGACTGGGAGACTATTGAGAGGCTGCATAACTCCTTTTTATGTGATTTTTCAGGTAATATCCTTCTGTAGAGGATGTGTCATAAAATAATTCTATTCAGATTGTAAACCAGTGGGTAATCAATCAAAATTAAAGTTCATTGAGTTAATAGAAAGAAAGAGTGTCGATTTTGCACTTTTCTATCCCGCAAATCACAAAACTTTAAGTGTCAGAGCCTTACATCTTAAAGATCCCATATTCTGCTTTTTCTGGTTTTATATGCCCTTTAGTGTGTTTTCCAAGTGTCCTGTGCATGTTTAGGCACATCTATGTGCAAAAATTTAAAGTCTGCAGAAACGCGGCTTCTCCTATGTCCTCCTGTTAGCTGTAGCATTAGCTGCATGTAACGCTCGGTTCTAGCCCCCCTCGATAAAAATTTGTCAGTGTGACGTCTTGTCAGTGTGAGATCACTGATCTAAGCCCATTGGCTCGTTGTGGCAAGCCCAGCAGCTCATGTTGCAGGCCCGTTAACTTCTGTAGCACGCCCACGATATGCCGTAGCCTGCGGTAGCACAGTAGTGCTAAGGTGCAAATGTTTATGCTCTACTCAGACGGAGCCAGTGGCTGCATTCCCTATATGGTGAACAAGGCGGGACATTTCCAAGAACCGTGCTGAGCAACTGACCAATAACAACAGAGCGGATCGGCAGACCAATCAGATCAGACTTGGCCCACGTGGGGCTCTGCAGTGGGGGCTCAGCAGAGCGTAGCTGATGGACTCAGAGCGTAGAGGGAGCAAGGAGGAGCAGTACATAAAAACAGACACTTTTTTCGGACTTTATCTATTGTGAACATACAAAAGTAGGTACATAGATTAAATATACCAACCCCAAAAAGGGCATAATATGGGCTCTTTAAGTCATAGAGTTTTATTTTTTTGTTTATATGACCACAAGCAGGTCCAAATGTATCTAATAAAAATACATGTACATAAAGATCTGGTCTACACCAAATTCATTGTTACATCATTCAAAGAGACCCAGCATTCATCCACCATGAACAAGCACTAGCCAACATTAGAAAGAAAAACTACCCCTTGTCAGACAGACATTTGAGTTGAACCAGACTCATGGGTATACAACCATCTGCCCTAAATAGATGGTTGTGTGCTCTTGATTTGAGTTCTCATAAGTTCTCATTGTATTGTCTCTGAACTTTTTTGGATAAACTTGCAGAACCTACATAAATCTCAATAGCTGTAAACAAATGTTATCTTTGCCATGAACATGTCTTGCAGTCAGGTTTTCCACCACATCACAGCACTGAGATTGCTTTGGTTAAGGTATTTAATGACATCCGTTTGAACCCAGACAGTGGCAGAACTTCAGTCTTAGTTCTACTTGATCTCAGTGCTGCATTTGACACAGTTGACCACAATATATAAATCAAGCGACTGGAAAACTGGGCACAGGAGTAAACTGGTTTTAGTCTTTCCTAAAGGACAGGGACTTCTTTGGGTCTAGGGGTAACTTCAAATCTGACAAAAATTACATGTGGAGTTCCCCAAGGTTCCATCCTGGGGCCTCTCCTGTTTCACATCTGCATGCTTCCACTTACTGAGATAATAGGAAACAACAAAATAAGTTGTCGTAACTAAGCAGATTACACACAGTACGCTTTACCTTCAAATTCCAGTTTGTTTGACTAGCGTGACTGCTCTGTTTTGTGTTTAAGTACGATACACATCCTGGGCCCTGGCACGCTTGGAAGAGGTCTGCTTTGGCACGGTACAGTTCATGCCCGAGCACAAGCACAGGCACAGAACGTGGATAGCGTTCCATTATTGATAAATCCTGGAGTGTTGTGGCTGTATCCGACTAAAATGACTGAAAATAGGCAGCAGAGTTGGTAAAAAGATGCAGTATTGTTCTCTTTGTTGTTCTCCGATGTGTGGACGCTGACTCCATTGTATTCAGGCTACTTTGCTAGGTTTAATAAGGATCATAATTTAGGGCAAAATTATACATCAACAATGGATTTCTGTTTCAGAGGGGATACAAAAATGTTTCTGTATAAAATCAGATTTTTAATAGCTCACTGACGTTTGCACCACCACATCCTGCAAAAAACCAACACATATCTAGATTATATAATGCGTTTTTTTTTAGCTCTGTCATTTTCAAACCATATATGAAATGGTTAACTCCTGTAGCCTTAAGTCGCCATGTAAATGTGCCATGTGGATACATTGACTGATTATCCTCCAAACACGTGTGTAACATTGAAGTGTAATGCTGCGACTACACTGTTAAAGATTTATTTCATAAATCTGTCACTCTGTCAATGTGATGCATTGAGAACATAACTTGCATACTACAGTCAGACTGGACATTTGTTTAATGATGCAGTTTTAGTTTCCTGCTGTTTATTTCTTCAAAATAACCTTGTCGTCTGATGTCGTTTTTGGCCTTTTCGAGTTGTATCAGCTGTGGAGCCTTTTTATGTGAATTATGATGCCTGTTCAAGAATTGACCAGCAATGCAGCCCTGTTATGATCTTTTATAGACACACCAATGCTCTTTTTTAAAAATGATTGACCGGCGGATGTTCAGAATTTACTTGCAGCATAGATAATTTAGATGTTCCTGGAAGTTATCTCATGTTGTTAACTTACTCTTCCTCTGCTTCTCACCAGCCTTTTAGTGGAACTGTCTGACTCGTTTGTCTTCCCGTTTCTGTCTTTGTTATCCTCATCACTGTTTTTCAGAAGCCGTGTGAGTCATCAGATGTGTGAGGAGAGTTTCGTCAGAGTTTGAGTTGATGGATAGATGCTGAGACAATTTAGCTCAGTCATTGATCACTGAAACACACACACTTTGGTTACAGCCCCCTGTTCTCTGTTAGCTCTGGTGCTAACATGACTCTGTAAGATGCCACCACATCAGCAGGCCAGATTAATGTATTCCAACATTTTTTTTTTATTCTGTCACAGACTGATGAATCAGCACAGCAGGACACCAAACACTTTGTGGATGGGGAATGAGAATTAGCAGCACTCTTCTACTGTATTTCTCTTACACATTTTTCCTCTTTAGCTGGATGTATAGAGGCGTTGATTGCTTGTATTTTAAATAAATACACGTGCATACACACTCCTGCTGTGTTCTCACATCTGCCCACTTGGACTTGCAGCAGAAAAAAATACTGGAGGGCTGGCAGGAGAAACTCCGGGTGAAGTCAGAGTGAAAAATTCAGCTGTTTGCGTTCACACATACAGCTCCTTTGGCAAATATCAGGAGTTTTCTGCAAGTTTTAAAGCCCTATTGGATGGGTGGTGTATCTGTGGGGGGCCGGTGGGTGTCTCAAGACATACCATAAATGTATGCTGGAAACGGCAGACAATGTAACAGAATACAACACTAGACACTTTTAGCCTTAGTATAAATGCTATGTATCAATGAAATTGCAGGGATGAACAAGCCGGGGAACAGAAAACTTAATGAAGAAACTTCATTACATGTACAGAGATCACACCAACTGTGCATAGGTTGGGCTCTGGTCACAAGACATAACCCTCATCAACCACACCCACTTGCTTGTGGTTAATTTTACTGATTATTTCCTGCTGCATTCTCACCCTGACTCCCTAGGGGAGCTTGCTGGAAAAATTGTGGGTAAATTCAGATTGGAATTTTCAAAAACCCTGCCTAAAATGACTTCAAATGCCACCGATTCTTAATGTAGCTGCCTATATAACAGACAGTGTGATATTGACATGAAGTGTTGTTTTAATATTGATTAAAATGTTGCTTGACAGGCTTCTAAATTGATGGAAAAGTCTGGCCAACATGGATCACAAAACATGAGTAGAAATAGTTGTGATGTCACACCAGCAACAAAGCAAATACTGGGAAGTTGAATTTATTGTTGATATTGGCTAATATAGATACATTTGGCTGCATTCAAGTAAAGTTAGCTAGCATTTTTTTTATCCACCAGCACTCATTCCTGTATTGATTTTAAACCCCATCTTGTTTCATGTTTCAAAGAATTTGGATCAGTTTTGAATCTTTCGAAATGACCAGGGTTGATTGTTGTATTGGACATTTCTCTGTCACTGGCCTTTTTTCTCAGCTTTTTATTTTTCTTGAGTTAATTTCCTGTGCTGGTTCTGCCCAAATGTAAACCAAAACCACAATATATAGTGTTGCAATTAAAATGATTCAAGGAAAACTCTCCTCCTGCCTCCTTTCAACCGGCTACCTCACTATGAGATGTTAACAAAGAGGGTTGCTTCATCTGCTTAGCAAGGAATCAGACCCAAATAAGATTTCTAGAAATCTCACCTGGCAGGGAGGATACACAGGTGTTCTTTAGACCCAGTGACACTTTTGAGATTCATTTAGGCAATATCCTAATATCCCGGGTACAAACAAACATCAGATGGAATGGTAATGTAGTGAAACAAAATGACTTTTAGAAGAATTATCAGTGTCTTTCTTCTAGTTGTTTTTAATATTCATCATTTTCAGTTTGAACTGTTTTCGATATACAGCACCTTTAAACTTGGTTTAAGAGGCACATTACATTTTTAAATCTTTATTTGCATAGCATTACAGGTACTGGTTCCTTTCATTCACACAATATTACAATGATTGCTATGTGTTAAGTTCTTTTCTGTTTGAACATCTGTGATTGTATCAGGGTGTGACCTGTCTGTGTCACTTTTTCTCTGCAGGTGAGTACATCAAGAACTGGCGACCACGCTACTTTCTGCTGAAGTCAGACGGCTCTTTCATTGGCTACAAGGACAAACCACAGGACTCTGACCTGGCCTACCCGCTCAATAACTTCTCTGTAGCAAGTGAGACACAAACACACGCCTTCATCACGTATGTCATAAAACAAAAACTACAAACAATCATCTATGTAATGACACGGCTTTCTCTGTGTGACCTCCAGAATGCCAGCTGATGAAGACGGAGCGCCCAAAACCAAACACCTTCATCATCCGCTGTCTGCAGTGGACCACTGTCATCGAGAGGACGTTCCATGTTGACACTCCTGATGAGAGGTGAGCCCTCAGCCTCCTCCTCATCATCAGCACTTCCTGTTACATATAAAGATTTTATTTTTTGGGATACGTTTACACATAAAAGGATCGGACTCTGGTTTTAACTTGCTCTCAATGTTACTCAAACTTCAAAAAAGAATTGAGGAAAAAGAGGAAGATGAAAACGGGTATAAAAGACATAGAGGAATTTATAGAAGTGCAGCTCTGCCATTCTTTCAGACTTTTTGTTTTCTGTGTCGTCCAGAAGGTGTTGTTGGTCTGTTGTCTGCTGTCGGCTTAAATTCATTTAAAGCACGAATAAGGGCTTTAAAGAAGGGGCTAAAACCGCACAGTCATTGTTTTGTTCACTCAGCTGGTTTTCATTATCGTTGGAAACCAAAATGGTTATAAAATGTACCGGTAGGTGTAATGAAAATCTTTTTACCTTCCAAGTGTATGATTTTTCTAGTTGCTGAGTATTCTCATGCAGACCTACACAGATTTTTGAGAACCAGCCATGATAAGAGCTGTTCTCTAAATGAAAAAGAAAGCTGCATCATTACTTCCTTTATAATGTCCTGTAGCATAGGATACGCTGGGACATCCTTAACAAAAGGAGAGAAGAAAAAATTACCCACAATTCCTTGCGTCAACTTTATTTAAATTGACGATGTTCTTGTGTCCTACTTTAATATAATAGATATTTTAGTTTGATTAAAGTTGAACCCTTGCCAATATAAAGCAAAATAAGATAATAAGATAAATAAGGAAAATGTGAATCTGTTAAGTTAGAGTGTGTTTATTTTGCTTTTCAAAGTGCTTCACACATTCCTCACAAGCTTGAGGACAGGTCCTCTTATTCATACCTTTCATTGACCCTATGACGTTTTTGTCATCATAATTAAGGAAATGTGAATAGAAAAGAACATAGTGGTTGGGTCACATTCTTCCAAGTCTCGTAAGTTGACATGGACAGTTTGGAACTTCTTCCCGTTTGACTGAGAAAAAATATTTGTAATTCAAAACATTGCTTGATAATCCTTACAAGTTGTGTTCATAATTACAGGGATTTGTGAGAGCCAATGGTCTGTACAAAGACCACTGCAAGATAAATGTAAAAAAAAGTATAACACACCAACAAAAATAAGCAGAAATGGCTTGAAAATTACAAATCAATCAATTTCCCCAGCCTAGCGTAGGCCTGCTTTTGACTTCTTTTGTGCATGAAAAATTAAAAAGGGTGATTAAAGAATATGGAACCAGATATGAATTAGTGAGACCAAAGTATAAAACAGCAGTTGTCAGAACTGAACCAGATGTTAGACTTTTTGTGTTTAAGTCTCTTTTTACACACAAGCAGTCTGTCGACACAGTGAGAAGAAAGACAGGAAGCAGGGGTGTGGGGCTGCGGCTGGACGCCAAGAATTGAAGACAAAAACACAATATATTGTATACATTATGACTTGTTACCTGATGCTTAATGGTTTGTTTTGAATAAGACCCCGTTCACAACATCCTCCGGCCTCTTATAGGCACATGAGCTGCCGTCTAATTGTTACAGGAAGGTCTACAGTTTGTAAGTAGGGCGGAGATCTTGTGTTCGATCTGACCATTGACTCTCACATCTCACTGTCATTTTGAGAAAAATTAGCAAGGGTTATACATGTTCAGGATATATTTATACTGTATATTTATGTGTGTGTGTATACTCGCAACCGCAAGCCCTGTAATTGGTCCGTTAGGTAGCTTTGTATTTCCTACATTTTTTCAACATTTCTGGTATCTCCATTTTCAAATTACTGCAGAGAAAAGAATGCTACAAGCCAGTACAATCAATTGCTGCTCAATGTTTATCAGCTCCAACTCCAACATAATACAATGTGTTTCAGTTGCCATTGTATCCTGTACGCAAACATACAGGAAATATTGCGGAAGATCTTTTTTCTCTGATTGCTTTAAAACAGAGGTCCCTAAACCGAAATCTTTTATCCTGTTTACTGATAAATAGTTTAACAAAACAGTGGTGCAACATGAAAAAGGTGAATATGAATTTAGCAGGTTAAACATGAGAACACTGGAATGGGGTTTTTAGTGGCACCAGAAGAACAACATAAATAGTCAGAGCTTTTATTGGACAGCCCGTTCTGATTTTACTGACATCATTTTGAGTCGAGTGCTTTTTTTGATTAAATGGGCTAACACTAGACCCACTCCCCCATCAAGTGAAGTTAGAGCTGCAGTGGTTTGTGGAAACCTACTGTACCTCTCTGTGCAGGTGGAACATATTGAGGAAGTAATCTTACAGTATCTCAATGTGACTGAGTTTGTGCTTTCAACTAGAAATCTGTCTCTAAAAAGTTCAGTAATATAATTGTTAAAATCTTTCTAAATTGTTGTGAGTCTTACCAAACTACTGCCCGCTGGTATTGTAAGCTGTGTTTATCTCCTGCAGGGACGAGTGGGCTGAGGCCATCCAGATGGTGGCTGAGTCTCTGGCCAAGCAGGAGGAGGAGGGCATCCTGTGCAGCCCCACCTCTCAGATCGAGAACGTCAATGAGGAGGAGATGGACACCTCCATCGGCCACTACAAACGGAAGGTGACAAGCAAAATTGCTCGTTTTTTAATGTGCTATTTCTGAGATATTTTATTCCAATAAAAAGATGAAGAAGAAACTGTTTCTTCACATCATGCCTCTGTTTCTTTGTACAGACAATGAATGACTTTGACTATCTGAAGCTTCTGGGCAAAGGCACGTTTGGGAAAGTAATTCTGGTCAGGGAGAAGGCGAGTGGCACGTACTACGCCATGAAGATTCTGAAGAAGGAAGTCATCATAGCCAAGGTATCAGCTTTATTTGTTGTTATTTTTAGTATAATTCATTTGATGACATGAATGCAGTGAGCACCAGCACTTAAAGTAGCTTAAGTTATTTTTAAACCTGGTTCCTATTTTAAGAATCCAAAATAAGAGTTTCTCATACAACCATTAAGATGTAGTGTTTTGAATTGACTGTGGGTGTCACTGTATGGCTGCAGCTAAGGTATTAAGTAAAGAAGTCACTGTGTAGGTCAGGTGTTTGATCCCAGAAGGACAAAAGATTTGACCTCTAAAGCGCTAGGTTACAACATCATCATAAGTTGAAGATGGATCTTTGCTGGTCTAGACTAAATTCACTGGATGGATGCTCAAAGGTTTTAATGAATGAACTCTTTTATATCTGGTTTGGCTGCTTATTATCTTTAAACGTTAATTGCAAACTGCACAGAAGCACGTCAGCCAGTTCACTCCTGGATCAGGCATATCAGTGGATCAGTACTAGACTGATCTCTAACACTATTTTTAGACATTTGGGAGTTAAGTTGACAAAAGATACAAAAAGCTACAAATAAATCCAGGAAATTGCTTCAACATGGAGCTTTATAACAGGTTGTAATGGATGCACCGTAATCCTTTGACCCTCTCAAAATAAAAATTGTAGCTTTTGCAGATAGAAAGCAATGTAAAAGATGTTTATGGAATTAAAAAACTAGGGCCCAACAAGGATCAAAAAATCAATTGATATTGGCCGATATCTTTCTTTGATCAATGTACAATATTTAGAGATAGTTGATGTAGATATATACATTAATTGCATTTATTCCTCAAATGCAGTTATCTAACAGTTGTGGAAAACATATAATGAAGACACATCACTCAACTGGAAAGTAACTGCGCATGTACGTGCATCACTGCTTGACACTGTGGAGAGTGATGATGCTTGTTGTAATACATATAACACTCAGCTGGTGAAAGAGAACTGCTACTGTAATTCAGCGATACTCAAATGAAATGCCATTTGTCTTGTGAATAAATCTAGTAATATGGGCGGATACCGATAGTCACTTGATGTGGTAATATCGGCTGGCCGATCAATCGGTCTGGCTCTCTAAAAAAACATCTCCCTCTTCAACAAATATGTTTCTCTGTAGGGATCCATTCTGTAATGTTGTCAGACTCTTACAAAAACGATCTGAGCCTGTTAGTAACAAAAGAGAGAACTGTTAGTGGAGGTACTTTGCACATTTGCCCTACAATATTATGTTGCAGCCATAACAGCTTGTTTCATGGCCGAGAGCTGAAAGATTTTATTTCTCCCTACAACATTTTTATTGTATTCATTATGGCAAATTTAGATCCAGATGAAAATAATATTCAAATAATAAATCTTTTCAAAGACCTGCCATAACCATGTTTATGAAAAGAATGCAATAAGAAGTCAAGTTACCTTCAAAGTTTAATGTATTTGACATGTAGGTTCCTTAACCATCTTTTTACTTCAGTAAGAATCTTCTACATTGAGCTCATCTTGTCTCTCCGCCTCTTCTCTCCCTTTTTATTCCAGGATGAAGTTGCTCACACGCTCACAGAAAGTAGGGTATTAAAAAACACTCGGCATCCATTCCTAACTGTGAGTATGAGCATGTAGACTGCATCCAACATTACATGAAGACACACTCGTGCTTCTTTACACTCAGTATTCAAAGTTTCTTTTGAATAAAGGTGAACAGAGCAGAAACAATACACTCAATCCAGACTGTATCATTTCTGTCTTAAAATAATGAAGTGTTGAGCACGGCAGAGTCTCAATAACATGTACACATTGTGTTGCAGTCTCTGAAGTACTCGTTCCAGACGAAGGACCGGCTGTGCTTTGTAATGGAGTACGTTAACGGAGGAGAGGTGAGACATCAATGAAAATGTTGTTTGTGATGCCGATTGATGTTCTGTTTTATTAGAATGTTGAAGTTATTTCCAGAGTGATTAAAACATGTTGATTAATAACACAGTGTTTACTCTCTCAGCTTTAACAGAGAGCTCATCTTGCTGTGGGCTTTGTCTTCTATGGAGAGTTAGGGTTAGCTTTGTCTGCACTCAGGGGTCTCAAGGGGGTACACTAAAGAACCTTATCAAATGTTCTGCCTCTTTTTGTGAATTAAACATTCTCCTTTCCTATCAGACTTTAAGGAGATGATTTAAAGATGTTTCTGAGATACATTTACATCTGAGATTTCAAATTATGATTGTTTGAGTTGATGTTCATTCTTCTTCCCAAAACCAAATAACGAAGAAACATGAATACACCAGGTTTCATTTAAAGAAGCTGACAGCATGTTCAACAGTCATGGAAGATGTCAAAGTGTGCACATGGAAGAAAAGCTCTGTGACTATATCGTCATCCTTACTCTCTTTTCATATTTCACTTTTTTATTGCGACTGGAATCATGTCAAAGTAAACACAGTGAATATATCCTTAGAACCCATAATGTAGTTGTTATTCTGGTTCTGATAAGATTGTCAAAATGTTCATACTCTAATACTTTTAAATACCTTGTGTTTGAATTTCCCCACTGGGGCTCAATAGAGGATTATCTTATCTTAATACGACGAAATCTAAACATTTTTAAACTTGTTTAAAAGAACCAAAAACTTCAGATCTTCAGTCATATTCTCACCCAAAAGTTGCCACAAGCCAGACAGAGAGCACAACATATTTGCAGTCGAACACAGGAATTTGCTTTCAAAAATGTGCTTTTTAAAAAACAGGAAATGATCCAATACTAGGTGCTATCACTTATATTGTTCTTGCTGTGTTATAGCTATTTTTGTTTTGTTTGCATTTTAAACCAAATATATTTAAAAACTAAGCTATATTTCATCTTTGCTATTAAATGTGAGAGTGCTGGGCATTTGGTCAGTCAAAAATGTCTAATATATAACACATCATTTTGTTTTTTTATGGAAACAGATGACACCTCTTACTCATACTGGAATAAGCTTTGACTCCAAACTGGTTCAATCCTGTTTCTGCACACACAGACCCCAGTCGTTCTCAATCTACAATGTGATTTCCTTAAAACTTGCTGAGTAATCAAAGCTTCTAAAAGTGTCTACTGTTAGTCTAACTGTATAACCAGCTACATAACTCCTCCTGGTTTCACTCCAGAGGAAATCTAGCCTTGATTTTGATCGTTATGTATTAGTGAACATAACAAGAAAGAGATCTAAGAGATGTTCTTTTTCCTTTCTTCGCAGCTGTTTTTCCATTTGTCAAGAGAAAGAGTTTTTTCAGAGGACCGGACTCGCTTCTACGGCGCTGAGATCGTCTCGGCTCTAGACTACCTACATTCTGCAAAGATCGTCTACCGAGATCTGAAGGTAAACTACATGATCCATGTTGAGGTTTAAGAAAAACCTAATATGTGACAACTGTTTTGTGTTTAAAGTTATTGATTCAATGCGTAGAAACAAACAGAAACACATCGTGCATGTTAGCTAGAACAAAACAAAGGAGTTATTCCATTGTTTGTCCTTCCACAGCTGGAGAACCTCATGTTGGATAAAGACGGACACATTAAGATCACAGACTTTGGCCTCTGCAAAGAAGGGATCACTGACACTGCCACCATGAAAACCTTCTGTGGAACACCTGAGTACCTGGCTCCTGAGGTCAGTAGACACAACACACACAGAATGAAAACTATTTGGATCAACAAAAAATATATAAATGCAATTAATTTTGTATTAAAAACTTGATTAGTTGGCCTTTATTATTTTTTCAACAAAAAGCACCTTCGCTTGTTATGACTTAATGTTGAATGAAAATGAGCATGTCTATAATTTCGAAATGTATTGAATCATAAATGTTCTGGGTGTTAATTTAGAAAATTTAAATAGAATATGTCTGATTGTTTTACAGCAATGTCAATACTTTATCAATGTAACTTTAATTAATTGACTTCAATAATCCCTCAGCTAAAAAAAAACAGCTAGTGAAGTGTATTCATTTATATTAATGTGGAAGTAGCAGGAAGATGTAGTTCCTCTAAAGGAATGTAAACCTTGTTACGTTTTCTCCTGCTGTTTCCTGCTGTACTCAGCCAATCAGGTGCACACTGTGTCAGGGCATTTTATACCATTTCATGACTTCAAATAACTAACTAAAAATACAATTCTCAGAAAGCGTGATGGTAACATGACATGCATTTTGGTTCTATCGTTTGACCCATTGGATTTATGGCCAATACTGCAGCCATTCAGCAGGGGGAGCTCTAAATCTTTTGGCTTCACATAATGCACATCATCACCTTTAAAAAAAGTGCTGCAGTTTAAAACACAGTCAGATACAGAAAAACAAAGTGTTTAAGACAGAACTGCGGTTATTTAACTTCTGTTTTTTGAAGCCTCAGAAGAAGACATTGATTGCAGAAGCTGCTTATATGATGTAACATAATAATTGTATGTCATCAGGTGCTGGAGGACAATGACTACGGACGGGCGGTGGACTGGTGGGGTTTGGGTGTGGTGACGTACGAGATGATGTGCGGCCGCTTGCCGTTCTACAACCAGGATCACGAGAAGTTGTTTGAGCTCATCCTCATGGAGGAGATCAAGTTCCCACGCACCCTGTCAGCCGACGCCAAGTCGCTGTTATCAGGACTGCTCATCAAAGACCCCAACAAACGGTAACCACAGACACACACAAGTGATGTCCATATATTCACATCTTATCAGGCTATTCAGGCTAGGTTTGCATAATGCAGAGAGGCTGCTATGTTAAACTGAGGCAGCTGCCTGAATAACAGCAAAAAACCTTGAACATTAAAATGTTCCTTTTTTCAATGTAGAATTTTTTTTTGCCTTTTCTCCAAATTTGGAGTACATGTGCCGTGCATTTCTCTGCAGAGAGTCTTGACAAGACCTGTCTTTGTGACAAATTGTATTGCAGAGCTTCTTTTTTTTTTTTTTTTTTTTTTTTACCTTTCAAGGATAAGCTAAATTTGGAGAATGCAGTTGACCTGAACAACCAGTAGGATCAGTCTCTTTGTAAAAACAAAGAACCTGATGCCTCCATTACAACCCTTCCTTTAATGTAGCCACAGATTCATTTATTTTTGTTACAACCTTGACCAAAGATTTTGACAAAACAGAGACATCACTAGCTGTGGATTTCAAAAAGTAGATTTACTAACAGTTAACATAAACAAGCTAAATATAGTGTGTCATCAGATGTGTAGAGCACGTGTTATTGTGTGTCAACGTGTATGTGTCGAGCTGAACAGAAGAAACCAGTCGTAGTCTGAGTGCAGGTGCCTAGGTCCAGCTCATCCACATGTCGACCCTTCACAAGACACAAGTCTCCTGCAACGCTTACTCAGCAGCAGAGCCAGACAGAGACACCTAGTGGCCAAGCGGAGGGCTCGTCACACTAACGAAAGCAGGAGTTGTTATTTTGTGTCTTGCACTTAGCTTTAGGACCCTTGTGCATGAAGACAACAGAAACAGAGTACTGACAATGGTTTCTTGCTAGTCTGACCATAGGCAAGTGTGTTTTTGTGTGATAAAGGACCAAAAAGTAGCAATGCATGTTGGGTAAATTCTGAAGATTTTTAATTGACTGCACTACAAATAAAGCTAGACTTGATAAGGGATCATCCATACGTTTAATATGTTACTTTTCTAGATATATTCTTTCTATATACTTTCAACATTAAGTGAACATTATCAAAGACTTTGTGAAAATATGAGGACGAGTAATAATGACTATTTTTTATTTGAAATTAAGGGAGGGAGAGAGATTGTCGATCTACATTGACTTTAAATAAGAGAGATGTCTGTTGATGTGCTGGTTTGTGTGTTTTTCTATGATTGTTTGTAGGATTTGTCAGTCTCAATAGGAAATGTTGATGTGATGACATCATTTCTTTTGACGTTTGCAAACATACAGTATAGAGAATTTTATGAAGTGGTTGTGGTGACGGCAGCTCAGTAATGGGACTCCACCAGCCTTTAGACGCGATCTCGGTAGTGTAGACCATCTGCCTTAAAACAAAAGTACTTTAACTGAGAGTATTGATGACATTACGTTTGACTGTGGCTGAAATAGAAAGAAAGATTTCTATCCCTGAATATGTCAAACTTTTTACCACTGGAATAATTGATGGGACAGATGGATTAATCATTGCCTGATTCAACAGTAACAGGAGGAAATGTTTTGACAGCTATGAAATCACACAGTGACTCAACTCACCAGAGGCAGTGTCACTCACTGGGGAGGAGATCGATGAAGGAAAGATGGTCATACATCCTGGAAAAGTTGTCTGACTTTTACCTGAGGGACAGCCGAGTGCCTGTCCTTCACTTATTGCCCTCTGTCCAATCAACAGAGCCCTCTGTCCTGTTGCTGGTCGAACAAACACGATAGGCTTACAAGCGACAGTTTAACAAGCAGTGGTGAACTCACACTTTTTTGGCTTGGGCATTCTCCATTCTATAATAACAACCTGCTAATTTTACATTATCCAAGGTCAATTAGGTTTATGCACTTTACAGATTTGTACAGACATTTGTGCGTCTGAGTGGCAGCTTTAATCACCCTTCACCTCAGCTACTTACTCCCACTCCAGGAGGAATATAATCCATAAACTCAAATTAAAAAGTCAGAGCATCTCAGTAAAACACAGAGATGTTAGATGATGAAGATAGATGTCTTCAGAAAAAAAAAAAAGCAGGTATAATGCTGATAAATGTACCGGTATGTGTATTTACCATAGAAATCCACCTGTAAGGAATCTGCCCTCCTTGTATTTACTACTGAATGAATAAAAGATACCAAACCTTCTAATGATAATTTAGTGCAGTTCGACAAAACTGGCTGGTGGCTGCAGTTAATTTCCCACTCTGATTATCCCGGAGCCGTTTTCTGTCTCTAATGAAGAAACGGGCGAAAAGAGGCTACTGCAGCTTCACAGAGCGAACTCGTTCACCCTGGCCGAGTTATTTCGGGATCAGTTGCAGGTGGATATTCTGGTTCCATTGATGGAGACTTTGTAAGAGCAGCTTCTGATGTCTCACTTCGACATCTCCTTCTTCTGTTTTTTTTTTTTTGACAGGCTTGGCGGCGGACCGGATGATGCTAAGGAGATCATGCGACACAGTTTCTTTGGCACAGTCGACTGGCAGGATGTCTACGACAAGAAGGTGAGAGCAGGCTTTAGCTGTGAGACGTCATCCCGTCTTCAGTGGTAATTTATTCAAACAGCGTACCTGAGATATTCTGGTAGCAGGGTTACCTAATTTTCAAAAGGCGTCTGGCTGGGACTCAAAAATAGAAACAGAAAAGACATATTACCTCATCTTTGTTTATTTTAGCAACATAAAGCCGTCCAAACACCAGCGTGTCTTTTAACTAGAAAGATTCTTCTTTTTCTTTTGGACTCGTCTGTCAAACTCTCAGCAACGTTTCACTCAAAGTCCTACAGCCTTGATGATTCTCCACATTATATTTCCTTAGGTCGTTGACTACTTTGCTGTGATGTTTTGCAACTTCCATCTGATTGAGACACTTTCAGATTTAAAAAAAAGATTTCTTCAGACTGCTTTGGTACAGTAACAACACAGACATCAATCACAATGTCTTCACTCTGTATGTAAGATGGGGAAGTTGCCACCATGACCTCAACTATGTTCAGACTACTGGTTCAAAGTCCAGGGTTTTGCTTTGTAGCTAAAGGTGCACCGATCGCCCCGGAGTAGGACGACCTTAAGCCTGTGAAAGACACACAAACATTACCGCAACAGTTACACACACAGAGGCTAACATGTCATCAGTGTAGAGGCGGACATGCTTTAACTAACTGGAGGTTAAACAAAGATCCTCTCCAAAGTATCTCTCATCCCAAGAGCGTATCCGTGCATCCACACTGCAGTGGCTTTGATGCACTTCCATCACTGGATTTGATCTTGTCATTGTTTATTTATTGTCCTTACAAATTCATCTGAAGCATAAGTATAAGAGAAGATGTGAATGAAGTGAAAACATACATGTTGTTAAACGTTTGCTGCTCAGGAATAAAGACATAATATATATTCAATCATCTTCAATAAAATCACTTATTTCCACCTTCCTCTTGTCTGTTCCAGCTGGTTCCACCTTTCCAGCCGCAGGTCAGCTCAGAGACAGACACACGCTACTTCGACGAGGAGTTCACAGCACAGACCATCACCATCACTCCGCCAGAAAAATGTAATAACATTGTTTTTCTTAATGCTCTTGTGAATGCTCCATAAACAAATAACCTCGTCATCTTACATGTTTACATTTGTCCCTACAGATGACGAGGACGGGATGGACGCGGCGGACAACGAGCGAAGGCCTCATTTCCCACAGTTCTCCTATTCAGCCAGTGGACGGGAGTGAGCGCTCCGGCCCAGCAAGCCAGTATTGTCCCCATCCGTGGCCATTTTGAGGAAAACACGTAGCCATTTTAGGAAAAAAAAAGTACCAGTCTCCCCTCTTTTTCTCCTTCTCTGCCTCCTCACAGACGGGGAGAAGTCTTTTTAGGGACTTTAAAAGAGGTTTTTGCACAGTGGGATAGACACCAGCCGGTCTCCCCACACTAAAAAAAATAAGTCTCCTACATTTTCAGCGCTATTTACTGCAGAAGGCAATGTTTTTGTTATTTATTTTTTTTCTCTCCGTCAGTATTAAGTCGTCAACCCGGGTTACATCTTTTTTTTTGTTTGTCTGTTTGTTGTGTCTTCCCTTTTTCTTCTTTTGACTTTTTTGCACTTGGTTTGGAAGAGCCGTTTTAGGGAACAAAAAACCAAAAATGTTGCCTTACATGTGCAGATGTTTCGTATCATACTGACAGGGTGTTTTTGTTTGGGAGAGGGCGGGCGGGTTTTTGGGGATGTGAGGGGGTCATCCTTAGTCGAGGATAAGTGCATGGCTCGTGGTTCACTCAAAAAAAGTACAAAAAGAAACACATTTCTTTCTCATCCATATGCCATGGCATCGCACATTCCCCATTCCCATGGCGATGAAAATCACTGTCTACAGATAACAACAAAAAGAAAAACAAAAAAACAAGAAAAAAACAAAAGAAAGACATAAAATGAGGATTGAGGGGTCTGTATCATTCCAGTCATCATTGCAATGTTACTACTCTTCTTTTTTTTTTCAACCCCAAGTTTTTTCTCTCACGCGCTTTACTCCTTTTAGTTTGTCTTTTATTGAAACAGGAAACACAAAACTGCCAGAAACTGCACAGTTCACTCAGGCGCCACAGAGCACAACCGCGTTCAAACTCAGCCTACCGCTCCAGCTTTCCACAGCCGGCAGGGAACGAGGCCTTTCTCTGCTCTCACCGTTTGTACTCCTCCTCTTCTTCTCCTCCTCTTCTTCACTTCCTCCTCTTCTTCACCTCTGCTCTTCTGTTTCTTCATTGTAGCTGTAGGACTAGTGGAATGGGTGTTTACACAGGGACATGTGGCTTAATGTATGTATGTAATGTATGTATGTACTGTATGTATGTGGGACATGGGGGTCAAATGTATGCTGTCATAGCACACACACACATCTACACACAAACATATACTCACATCGTCATGCACACAGATCAGACTCAAGTCTGCACTTTGCTCCAAACTAAACAAGTTTGTCATTTTCCAAAATGAACAGAACGCCTGATGTGTATACCACAAAGCAGATCAACATACCCAAGCTCTTTGACTTAGCTGGCTGGATAAAGCCTGAAGTTGCAGATCAAGATTTTGGGTATCACAAAGGTGGTTATGATCTTTCTCTGTTAACTCAGACTGCTGCAGGCTGTGTGCGGGCTCACCTGAAAGGAGACATTTAGCTCGTCATTTGACGCTTCTTCTGCACAAAGAAGAAAGTTTACTGGCAGTCTGCTTCTGTCAGACTAAAATCATGAGAAGAAATAATGAATAGTTTGTGGTAATAAACTTCACTGCTGCTTCACGGACGGAGAGGGACGCTTCAGTAAAATATTGTTATTTTAATTGATTTTGCCATCAGACAAACTGTTGGTGCTTTTTGTTTATTTCTAATTTGACAACTAAACAAAGTAAACTTTAACTTTGACAATAATACACGACATTTCAGCACTAAAAGAAGCAACTGTTATGGTCAGATAGCCTTTTACTTCATGAAGATATGTTAAATAACATTTCATCTTTCATTGATGAAGACTAATCAGTATTATTATCTGTGATTTCAGTGTAAAACCTGCTGCGTTAAACACTTCAGGATATTAGGAGCAAATATAAAAACACAACGCTTCTTAATTCAAAGTGGTGCAACGGATGACAAATCATTTTGTCTCAGATCAATCAAAGAAAAAAAAAAATATATATATATATATATATATATATATATATATATATATATAACTTTTCTCCTCTTCAGCTAGCCATGACTCAAACTGTGCTTTTCACCAGCGCTACAAATCAAAATGTATCCCCATGAATCTTATTGATGTATCACATCCTTTGTTTTCTTTACCATATACACAAAGCTACAATTCCAATAATAATAATAATAATAGAAGCAGTTAGATAAACCTGAACTCCTTTTATTTAGAAAGTGCGTTTTAAATTCTGAGTAGTAGACTTCAATATGAAAAGCTGCATCATTTCAATAACAGTATTTGTAACCACCATCAGAAACCACAACTAACCAAACAGAAAACAGATCTTTCTGTGAATAATACATTTTCTCTAATCTTCAAAAACAGCTTAAACAATGTTGAACATGTAACACACACACACACAGTTCATTCAGTTGGTGTGTGTATATCTGTGCACAGGCTGCACCTGCATCGTGTGTCGTGACAGACAGAACAGGGAGCGTGCGTTTAAGGCTATATCTTCTTTTTCTGGACCAGTACAACCGGCTTTAATGTTACTAACCATACGTTTCTGATTGATGTTATAAGCAGCCACCAGCTTACACCTGCATGATAAATGCAGACATGGTGAAATGAAGAAAAGTAGAAGCAGCATTAAACACAAAGTAAGCATACTAAAGGTTATATCAACTCTTTACAAGCTGTGTCCATGTGAAAAAGTTTTGGACAAATCTGATCAACTGTGATCCGTTGCACAACTACTAAGAGTGTGTAGCCTCTGTGATGTGATACATACCTACTACTGACCAGGTTATGAGTTAAGAGTAGGTTACCATGGTGATCTAGCCATCTGAAAAGAGAGCCAGCTTTGTGACATGGAAATCTCTGACTTAAGGCTCAACAGAGCTGGCTTTCCCTCTAATCTCGCTTTGTGGTTTTGTGGTGTATCCCCCTGGTTTGTTTGTTTCTTTGAACCTGCAAGTCTAAACTGAGGGAATGAGGGGATGAGTTGCCGTGCACATAGGAAATGTTTTTACTTAACACAGAGGCTGTTGAAGTTTTGGTGTACAGTATAGGGAAGAGAAGCTTACATACTTGAGTCATCCTAATTTTTTTTTTCTAGCTTTTGTCAAGATTGGAATGACAACCTCTGTGCCACACACACGTCTGTTTGTAGAAGCCTGGAGGTTATTAGCCCAGCAGAAAGACTGAAAGACGCCGGACACAGCTGGACTTGCATTGCCTGAAGTCCTAAAGACTTCTTTAAAAGCTGATGAATTCAAATCTATCCTAACTCACAAACTTACAACCTTGTTGTTTCAGTTAAGTTGTAGTGGCAAAAAGATGCTGGTCTCTTGTCAGTTTTTGTATTTATAACTGTATGAGAGAAGTTGTGAGTCCGCCTGATGGTTGTGTATGTGCAATAAGGTTGGAGCTGTTCTTATGTTTTATACTTGATGAGATAAGTGAACAAATGTCTTGAAACTGGAAGTAAACACTAAATATGACTGAAATTGGCAAGAAACAGAATTGAGTTCTCCATTGGTCCACTTCGTTCCCCGTATTCTGAAACCAACTTTTAAGTCTGAACCGGTCTGTCAGGGTTCCTTTGCACAGTATTGCAGCATTGTTGATGAAAGTATGTTTCCCACAGGTCTTACAGGACGATACATCCTGGAAGTGATATGATTAGTTTGTATGTACAACTTAAAACATGCTATATGCCTATAGCTGCATACAAGTGCTTTTATTTATTTAAATCAAACGTCATGAGTGCTGCCCTCTGGTGGTACGTGTGACAAACAACATGACTCAATAATGTGAACTAATTTTTTCCTTTCGGCTGTGATCTATCTGTTTCACTTTTGAACAAAATTATGAATTTAATTACTTTCCGGAGCAAATTGCTGACTTTTTCTGCTCTGCATAATTCAGTGGTTCCTGCACTCATTTGGAAAGGTTCAGTGTTGATTTCTGATTGTCAGGTCTGAAAAACTGATTACGTTGGTGAAAGATTTTTTTGGAAATTGTTGTCTGATGCTTGTGTCATCTCATACTCTGAGGTTCATGTGTAAAAGTGATAACAGGTCCAAGAATTATAACTCTGTAATGTATGACAAAGAAAGTATTGATTGAACTGCAAAGGAAACCTGAGTGCACACACACACACACACACACACACACATAAACATCATTCATATTCACACAAAAACACAGACATACAAAGACTGTTTTATGAAGATAAGTCAGGAGTGGAGAACTTTATTAAACATGGACACTAACAGAAATGAGGCTTCCAGCTCCACATGCAGGGGTTCAGTCCCCATCTGTCCTGTCAGTATTGTGAATTAAAAATTATTTATACACACGCGCGCACACACACACACACGTTGAACTGAGGTTATCAATAAGTCACTAATCATGTCACAGATCACGAGAAAACTGAGCCGTGAGACACTCATGTGAGAAGACTGTGAGGACTGCCGGAAATATGTCGCCCAAAACTTCTTCTAGGTGTAAATATGCAATGCCTTTTTTTGTCTTTAGTGGCATTTTCACAAACGAAACATAAACATTTCTGTTTCTGTGTGACAGTACTTCAAGCTTGCTGAAGATAATAGTGACAGAATAAAAAAACAACAAATGACTCAAAAACTGCATCTTAGAAAACATCAAAAAAGGAAAAAAAAAAACAAAGACTATGTCAAAAACTGGACCCTTCCATTGATTTTTTTCTTTGGGACAATACATCGACTTATCGTCCAAGGAGGATGTTTCCATGGAGACAAACCCCGCCTCCTGCCTTCCTTCTTTGGCCACCATGGTCCCTGAAAATGATCAACTCCTGATTTTCTGAGAGGACATGACTGTTACTGTGGAGTCTGCACTGTCCTTTCTGTTTCCCTTCACTCTATTTTAAAAGAAAAAAATACAAAAAGGGACCATGGCTGTCTTTTTTTCTTTTCTTTTGCAGTGATGGTTTTATCAGGTTGTTCCAATCCCATCATCCATTTCTTCTCCTCATTTTTGTACCATAGTATCCGTTTTATTTATTTTTGTCTTTCTAGGCAGTGTTACCTTGTATGTTGTTAAAAAAAGGCACCTCTGGAAAGTTGCTGAGGGATGATGACGATGATGATGATGATGATGATGATGATGATGGATGCATTAACTGAAGTCTCTTTTTATTCTTTTTTTTTTTTGGATCGTTTGCTTGTTTGTTTTCTTACCAAAACATTCGGGCAAGAACCCAGTAGTGGACTTGCGTTGCCGTGGTAGTATTTATTTTGAATTAAATTAAAAGAAATACATTTCAGGGTTTCTGCTGTTGTGACTCTTTATTTCAGATGCTACAGTATTTTATATTTTGAGGCATCTTTAACTTTCAGGGGAGATGTGCTCTATGGGTCTTCATAGGGCTTCTTTTATTTTAAAGCTGGTGTGAGGAACTTTCATTTTGGGTTAAAGTAAGTATCATGAAAAAGTAACAGCTGGCTTACTTTTTGAAAAACGAGAGTCCAAAGTTAATGTGACAATATGTGGAATTTTAGTTTTTAGAGCTACCTGCATGAAGATAAAAAAAAAGACTTCAAAAGATATGAATATGATGTTTTGTTTTTTTCTCGATTGAACAAGTCTCCACATGTTAAATGTTGTCTAGTAGTAATCAGTACAGTTCACAGTCAATCCAGATTGTGAATATGACAACAAACAGGTAGAAAAATACATCATTTGAAATGACATTGCAGGGAATGAAGTTGAAGTATTGAGATCTAAGTGGAACATTAGACATACATGGAAGGCGTACGACTGTTTTGTTTTGCATTCCGAATAATTTAGACTATTCTTGAAATGATGCTGTAGTTTCATACAGAACCCTTGGACTTTATTGTCAGCACTCAGTCTTTAATCTACGTTTACATTTTAAAAACCAGGTTTGAGAACAAGACGTAAGTTTAACCCAACAATTTTTTTCTGATTCATGGAGTAAGTTGTTGAGATTGTAAATTAAGCCAAAAGTGCGGTCCAACTTTGAGTGTGCAATTTTTTAAAACTGGCTACTAAACAGAAGACAAGCCCATGTTTCAGATAACGAGACCTTTCGTCTCATGCCCCTCTTAAGGAAAGCAAGAAAATATTCCCCAGTGATGACACAGGTGTAAGAACTGAAAGCCTAAAGATTTTTTTATATTTTGATCCAAAAGATCGAAACAGAACAGAAAACAATCTGGTGTTTGATGATGCCTCCTTCATCTACTGGCACGGCTACAGGCCTACAGTCTTGTTACAAAAATGATTTCCCTTTTTCTAGTCAAAACAGAAAAAGATCACTAAATATATTCAGAAACATTTTCTGTGATACAACTGAAGATACTCAATGAGGCAAAGCAGGCTTCCCAGCAGCCAGAAGGTTCTTCTTCCAACCCATGTCTACATCCATCACCTTTTAAGTCTCAGACACTCTGGACCTGGTCCTGGACTGCTGACAGAACCAGTTCAGTCCCACTGAGGTCAAACCTGAAGTCTCTGACGTGCAGGACAGGGCAGCATTCACTCAGGAATGGATGGAGGCCAATCTACATCCACAGACTGAAATAGGAATCAAACAGACAGACAATAAAGTCAAAGAAAACATTTTTTACAACTTTTACATTTTGTAAAAAGAGCAAAGATACTATTTTTTTTTCCAACAGAAATAAATACTTATTCAGATAAATTCCCCTTAAATCAAAGAAAAAAACCTCTGCTGGCCTTGCTCATGTCTCAATACATAGAGATGACGTTTACATTCCTGAAGTCCAGCAGTCCATTAAAAATTTCACATTGACTCGAAAAAATATATGCTAATGCTAACCAATTACTTTTATGTTAGCTTGTAATGAGCTAGTGCCATTGATGTCTGAAGTTAGAATACAAATATGACACAATAAATGGTAGACATTGGTATGATTCATTATCAACCTCGTCTTGTTGTCATAAATAAACTGTGCTGAAAGCTTATTGTAAGTTTATATGAATGTATTGACTTTATCGTGCTTCAGCCTTTAGCTCAAAGTATCAAAGTCAAGTGGTTTTCATCGATAATGCTACAGACTTTACATTCAGATTTTTACAGTTATAATAATCATTGTTCCCACCTCCACATCCAGCTCCAGGATGTCTGTGTCCGTCTTCAGCAGCTCACACAGGTTGGGTTTGGTGCGGCCGAAGTCTCCGTGTACGAACTCTTTGATGTAACTTTGAGATAAAGTTCAGGAACTTTCAGAAGTAAATCAGTTAACAAAAGCAACAATTATCAGGAAGATATATTTACAATTATTTGAATAGCTGCTTTAAATAAAACTAAAAGAAAGCTTGTAAAAGTAGCCTGTTTTTAACTAGAAACGTTATTAACCTTGAAGGGGACATATTATGAAAAATCCACTTTTAGTGTTTTTGAACATATATCTGGGTAACCTGAGTGTCTACTGACCCACAAAATGTGACATAAATCCATCCAGTCCTTTGTTTGTTGTCTGCATTTGTCTTACAACACAGAGGAAAATGCTCCGTTTCAAATGTGCTCTCCTTGTGATGTCACAGTGGAATTCTGGTAAGAAAAAAAAGCCCTCCCTTCCCGGGTATCTCCACCCCCAGCTGTTGAACTAAACTTTTGCGCAGGTCCGCCATTTTTATTCCCGCTAGCGAAGGAGTGATGTCTACCAGGAAAACTCGGGGGGGTTACATTGCTCATTCAATGCTGAAATTCTGACTGTGAATACATTCTTAGAAGAAAAACGTTTTAGTCTTATAGTCCACTTGTTGGGTTAAGAAATGTAAGATTGGTGAATGAAACTGGCATCAATCTCAAGCCAAACAGACCTGCTTAATCCTTATTGCTAATCTTAGCAAGGTTATATTAAAGTAGCCATGTCAGTAGGATATGTTAGCGTTTAGCTCAAAACTTAGCTGACAAAGTCCAAAAGTTTAGAAATAGAACATGTCCTCACTACTATGTACATACTCCATTATATTATATACTCCAAAGTACAGAAGTACCAGTATAACCTTTAAAATATACCTGGGCCCAAACATAATGTTTTTTTTTTATAGCAACAACATTATGCAGACTATTTCAGAGTATTGATAATTAGATGATTGTTTTATAATTATGAATGGAATATTGGGATCAAAACTATTAACTAGTAGTAAAGTTGGAGTTTATTAATTCACTTTATATCCTGCTATTTAGCTTGGGAATCCCCACACAGGATCAATATAGTACCAGAATATCCTATATCACAACTTTCCCTGATTTGAATACATATTATTAACCTGGATATGAAATCAATAAGACTAATGTTCTGAACAATTGAAGCGTTCACAGACTTTCAGTCCTGCAGATATAATGATTGATTCAATTTGTTGAAAGTGGAGAAAAAGCAGATAAGATGGAGGATACGTCCCCGCCTGTGTCTTCAGGCCCAGGTAGAAGTGATGAGAGTCCAGGAAGCGGGCGTTCATACTGTGGATGACTCTCTGACGAACAGCCAGTGCCCGTCGATGTAAGACCCTCAGAGGAGTCTTCTGGTCAAGAGTCAGATCCTGATGGGATGAAGTCTGACGTTATAATCAGGTTGAATAATTCAATTCAACATCTTGTACTGCATCTTTCTCCCCTGCAGTGGTTTAGATTAGGGATACAATACATTTCTAGAGTTGTAATTAGGTCTCTTTAATGTCCCCAAAAGTGAGCTACGTTAACTTTTCAGTATTTGTGGATGTTAAACTAAGTTCTGCAACAAAGGATTATTTTTTCAGTGTCAGTTAATCTGCCTTTTATTTACTCGATTAATACACAAGTTGTTTGGTCTATAAAATGTAAGTTAGTGTTTCCCAAGCCTGAGTAAAATCCTCAGAAATGTGTTTTGTCCATGAGTCTTCTATTTAGGGCGCGGCCACACTGGCAATGTACTTAAACACAATTGCCCCCACACCAGCTACTTTACTGACTCGTGCAGTCGAGTCCGCGTCTGCACATAATTTATTAAATGTATTTATGGATGTATCTGATAACAATAACAATACTGAAACTAAGACAGCTACTTTGTATCTTTACTTTGAGTCATTTTAGTCAGATAGACAGAAAACTCAACAGATTTCTTCATAATAAAGGCTGTCAACGCTGTGTACCCGTTGTTATTTACATACAAATATTTACATACATGAAGCTGTAGTTAGAGAATCTAGACTTTTTTGCTTGCAAAATGATTAAAAAAAAAAAAAAATCAATTGTGCATGGAAACAGTGGAAGATTAGAGTGGAAGTTTGCATCTCAATAGTAACAGCTGAACATATAGTGACCTTAATGTCATCGATGAAGGTGATGTCGTCTCTCTCGATGGGTTTCAAGGTCCAGATGAGTGCCGTGTATGACTTGGTTTTCTCCTCCTCTCCCTCCTTCATGCGACTCATGGCCTCCCTGAACACAAAACAAGCACACAGCACAGATGTTTGTTTCATGAACTGTCTCATAAGTTTATTTAATGTTAAGGTTTCAGAATGCCAGAGCAGTTTAAGAGTTGAAGTAAATTGTGCTGTTAGATATTCTCTCACCTGGTTACAATCTGCAGGTCTCTCACTCTGATTTTGTCTGAAGACGCATTTATGGTCTGAAAAAAAACAAGATTGGCAAATATTAGTAAAAGAACATGGGACATTAAAACTGCTTACAGCAACCAAATATACAGAAAATCTAAACAATAAAATGTCAATTCTGAAATGTTTCCTGACACTACAGTGAGGCACAAATCTGAAACTGATCTATGAAGATGAACAGAACTAAATCTCTACTCGGGTGGAGCAACTTAAAAAAAAAAAAAAAATGAATGGATGACTCAGTAAAAAGCGCTGCAGTGAAGCCTCAAGTGGTGGAGAATTGTTTTAAAAAGGTTGCTGTGTCTTTCATTTGAATATTTCCTGTAAATCCTCTTTAATTCTAAGAAACTAGTTCCAAGGCACTGCAGCCTTTCCCTGTGGAAGAGGAGCCTTTGGAGAAACATACGTACTTCATACAAGTCTTTTAGTCTACACACTTTTGTTACATTAATCTTTTACTGATAAATCACTTTCAACCTCATTCAAGGGTTTTTTGTGCATTTTTTTTTTTTTACATTCTTCTCCAGATAGTTTGTGTTTCCCTTCAGGTTGTTTTTAATGCACATATAAAATATGCACAAAAGGAGAAGTCATTTCTTTGTAGTTTGAGAGATGTGTTATAATTTTGGTACATAGTTAATGGAGCTGACCTCCTGTAGCTGCTTCATTTCCACTTTGCTGAGTCTGGATCTGTGAGGATTCAGCAGCTCCATTGCAAACGGACGACCTGCGGACGATTAGGAAAGATACAAATATTGTATTGTACACATTTAACTTCACATTCTGCAGGTGCAGCTTCACATTTTATTTTCTGTCTCTTACCGTTTCCTAGAGTCCGGACATCCACATCTTCCCGACCAGATGAGGAAAAATTAAATCCTGTAACCAATCAAAAAATGTTATTTCTGTATTTTTAGGATCATTTTAATATACAGTAAAGTATTTCTCCTGGGGTAATTCGCCAGGATGGACTAACCGTCAGCTCTGAAGGAAGACAGGATGGGTGCTGCAATCAGCTCCTCTACCGAGGACTCCATCCTCCTCTCTCCATCGATCAGCCAGGGCGTCTGAGGCAGATTGCGGCAAAACTTGTTGTACCTCCCTGACCAACGGGAAGAATGTCAGTATGGAAATAAAAAAGATCAAACTAAATGTAAAAAGACTCTCCTCGTGTGCTATAAATACCTGCCACAAAGATTGACACGTGGAGACACTGGACGTCCTGAGAGCTGCAGCTGCTCGTCGGCTTTACTGGAGGGCACGGGTAATGTCTGGAAGAAAACATTCACAGTAAAGACTGTACTCCTAAAACACATCAAGAACTGGCAGATGAACATGATGCTTACTTTAGAAATTTGGCTTCAGATATCTTTTCCAGAGCTTTGACCACAGCCATCCTGGTGAACACTGACTGCCGGCAGAGAAAAAGACAGTTCATTGTAGTCCTGTAATATCAGACCCTTACTAACTAAACATGCAGCTGTTCAAAACAATGAAGGAAGTTTATTTTGTGCCTTTAAATTAATTATATTACTAATGTTGGCAACAGATCCTTATATCTATTAGAGCAGAATTATGCATTACAATGACTGTATTTAAGATGTGGATATAGGGGCGCTGGTAGCCTAGTGGTTAGTGCACGCCCCCCATGTACAGAGGCTGTTGTCACCAAGTGGGCAGGCAGGGTTACAATCCGACCTGTGGCTCCCTTCCTGCTTGTCAATCCCCTCTCTTTCTGTCTCTCTCTCTGATTTCAATGGTTATGCATATGGTTTCTAGCCTCTACAGCACACACAGGTAAAAGGTCTTCATGTTATCATAAAAACATGACAATGCAGGGTCGTCATCAGGGAGAGGAAGTCAAAGTTGAGGTCCACATCTAGTGGCCTTGAGGCTGTGTTACACAAGCACATACATTTACAAAGACCATAGGCATCAGTTAATGTTTGAACAAAAGGATGCATCCCCGTTATTCATCTCATAAGAACTCACGTAAGCTTTATTTCACAAATGTCCAACTGTTCTCTTTCACTCTGACGCTTCCTACCTGTTTGTTCTTAGTGGCTTTAAAGCAGTCCGGACATGTTGATGCACTGTAGGAAGGAGGTACAAGAGCCTTAAAGAACGTTTGTCAACTCATGTTACAGTTCATCTCTTCTCATTGACCTTCACTTTGCTTCTGTCAAATGTAAATGCTTCATAGTGGTTATCATGAATCAAAGAATCCTGCTTTCACTTTCATCTGCAAAATGTCATCTGTGTTTCAAGAACCTAAAATTAATGCTTATCCCAAGATTAAAGATGAGGACTCACAGGAAGTGGCAGTCGACGTCCGTTTCTGGGTGAGTGAACTCCACACCTACCTCAAATAAACTCTGATAAAAAGACAAAAAACACAGAGTCAGTTTGTAATCTCATGCTGACAATAAAAATATCACTCTTTATATCAGCGGGAGGAAAGATAAATCAGGGTTACTGTGGATCCCAAACTTACCCTTCATGAATAGAAGCTAATAACAAATGTAAAATGTAAGGTTTGTAAATGATTGTATAAACTCCACTGGTTAGTTCCCCTCTTCATGGGAGTCACCTACCCTGGTCACCACAGCTATGCCTCCCAACTCCTTTGAGACGAGGCCCTGTAAGATCCACTTGAAGGCCTCTTTCACCTGGATGAAGTCCTCTTTGTCCACCGCGGCGCTCTTCTCTCTGGATGATCAAAAAAAGTGAACATGTAAAAAAAACACATGTTCACAAAGCCTGACTGAACCTGCAGTGATGGAAAAAAAACTGAACATCCAAAAGAATGAACTCACCTCAATTGGTTCTTCACATGAAGCCAACAGGAGTGCTGCAGGATTCAAAAATACATATTACGACCAATATGACAGAGACTTTCCTTGCAACTCAAGCACCAAATGAGGATTTGTTATGGTGCTAAACATAGTGCCCACAAAAACTACCCCCTCTGTCTAAAAATAATGAAAGAATAGATTTTTTAATCTTCATTTGTAGGGGATCTTTACGTTACAGTAAGTGGTTTCCAATGAGCTTGGAGCTAAAAAAAAAAAAAAAAGAAGAGGATTTTCTGGCACAAACTTCACCATCTGACAAGGTGCATGAAGAGTGAAAGGCTTGAAGAGGTCAAAATGCTCCAGCAACACTTGTAGTATGAAGATCAACTTTATTAACAATTTAGACCGACGCGTTTCGGCTACAGGCAGAAAGTCAATGAGATATCCCATACTGTTTGTTTTGGAGACTTGTTTGAACTAATACAAATATAGAACAATAAATAAAGAACATTAAACATTACATTTTGCAAACAGATAAATAGTCAATAAATTGAGAAGGTAAAGAACATAGTAATAAAAAATGGAATAATTTCCAGTAGCTTTTCGAAGACAGAGTAGACAGACACAGACTGACCTCCCGGACACACAGCTGAGCGGGCAGAGAGACGGACAGCACCAGAGTGTCGAACTCGTACTTTTCTGCTTTTACTGCATCGGCCATCTGTGAACATCAACGCAACAAACATCAAATTCTTCTTCAAATTCAAAAGGAGTTGCACTCTGACACTACAGTGAGCAGCAAGCACACACCTTTACGGCCTGTGTCGTGCCACAGAGTTCCTGTAGGATCCCCAAACACACCACACACACACTGGACTCTTCATCCTTCAGTCTGACTCCAGCAGCAGAATCTTCCTCTGATGGAGCACCAGCAACAATGGGCTCCAGTTTAGCTCTTTTACTGGGTGGGTCGTCAGGTGGTTCTGACCCTGCTGCATCATGGGATTTGTTGTTTTCTTCAGTAGATTCTACTGCTTTAGGATCTTGTGGTTTGCCGTTTTCAGTATCACTGATAAAAGCTTGAAGTTCTTTAAGCGTTTCCTGTAAAAGATCGGAAATGACATAGTGGCTCACAAAGTGCACAATTTTGTGGAGAACAGCGATTTATAAAAAGCTTTGAGTGAACACACACCTGATGGGGCCGTCGGTAGGCAGCCTGAACACTCACGCAGCAGAACCTTAGCACACAGCGTGCGCAGCAGCCGGCGGACAGAAGCTTCTTGATGATGGGTTTATCCTTTTCCTTTAGAGACAGCATGACTCCAGCCTGCAGAAGGTGCAGAGATATTTTTAAGAAAACAGCAGACAGCTGCTCAACTGATGGAAAGTTGTGACATTTGAGACATGAATATATTGAGTAAAAGAAAAAAAGAAAAAAAAATCAGGAGGAGATGCATTGCATAAAACAGGGTTTTAACGTAGCACAGGTCTCTTGTAGCTGTTTCTGCTTTTATTGTCTTAGATGAGATTTAAATGATCTGTTCCTTCAGCATGTCATTTATTTCATTATTTATTTCCTTTTTCATTAGCACACTGGTCCTCCTGAGTTACACAAGTCTGTACCACTGAATGAATGCTACATAGATATTGATGGAATGACAATCAAATAAACTTAAACCCAATATCATTCTGCATAAAAAAAAGTGTTTGTGCAAATTGATTAAAGAATACGAGTAATGAGTCTAAATCAAGGGTTCGTGCATTCACCAGTAAATGATGCCTGTTCTTTTTGAGTTGTTAAAATGTGTGATACTTCTCAATAGCAGTTTTTAAATCAATGCAATGTTTGTTATTCAAGTGATCGATAATATTAAAAGAACGAGAACTATTGAAAAACCAGATCTACTGTCATATTTTAACAAAAAGCTGCCACTAGCATAGGAAAGAGAGAGAGAGAGAGAGAGAGAGAGAGAGAGAGAGAGAACTGTCAAAATTGCACAAATACGTATAATTGTCAGCAGTTTGGTAATTAAGACAATAAATGATCCAATGTTGAGTTTCTTGGACTTCTATTTTTGTTGCTGCAGTATCGATTTTGTTTGTTTTGTATCTTCTTTTAGATTTTATTGGCTTCTAATGTGTTTGTCATATAGCTTTTAATGTCTTATGTAAAACATTTTGAAATAAAAGTGCAAAGTAAATAAATGTATTTTACATTGCATTACACTTCACTGTTGTTTGTGCTGAGTAAATACAACTTAATAATATAATTACTTTGCACTGAAAAAAAGATATAAAAAGTAATGACCAAAATCTATTTGTTCTTAAAATAACTAGTCCACAGAAAACACTTGTAGCATATTGAATAAGTCATTATGTTAGACATGATGCCGAGCAGCTGAAAACCATGCCTGTTCAGTCTCTGCTGTATGCTAAGCTAATTTAGCCTGCATGAGATTTTAGGAACCATTATGAAAGCAAATGAGGTCAAAGAGCACTGTGAGGTTCTACAGATCACCTGTAACAAACCTACCTGACACGAAGGTGTTCAATTGCCGGTGAAATATAGTAAAGAAATCAAGCAGGATTCAGTTTCTTTTCAACATGTTGTCAGCTTCCCTGATGGTTCAGTACAAACAGACGAAGCTAATCGATCAAGATCGGCTTGTCTTAACAACTAACATAAACCTTTGGCTACAGCAATAAAAAAAAAGTCTATCTGTATATTCAACCGGCTTTGCAGATTATGTATATCAATTTGTCATACAAGAAAAACAACCCAAGATTAAAGTTAAGAAAACTGCGACATGTTTTCTTTTTTTTGCGCGTCGGTACTTGATAGCTACTGTCTGAATACGTCATCTCCAAGCGCTGGGCGGGTTGACAGCCGGGTCCTTCTTCTCCATGCAGCAGTCGGCGGCTCTAGAAATTTCTAAACGGGACCGGGTAGAGATACCGTAATCTGAGTCCATCCGAAGCCGAACCGCGGTGCTCAAGCTCCGGGACGAATCAGTCCCTATCTAAAGACTTCTCTTCACATTTACCATCGATAATTAAGTCACGATGCCAGAAGTAAAGTCCGCTGCGAGAGTTTCAAACATGAGCAGAAACAAAGGAGGGGCGTATGTGGACCGCGACAAGCCGGCCCAGGTTAGGTTCAGTAACATCTCAGCTGCTAAAGGTGGGTGTAAAGTTGTAGAAGCTGTGTGAAAAGACTAACATTCACGACAGAATATCACCTTTTTATGTGGTTACCATCCCTCCAGACTGGGCTGAGCCGGACACCGTTACTCATTGTTGTCAGGGTATTAGATTAAATCTGTTCCGGAATCTTAATTAACGACCCTGCTCGGTTACCAGTGTTTGTATTCATCATGTTGGAAGTAAAACTGAAATTGGGTACCAGGGCAGCTGAAATTAGCGAGCAGAAAGCCACTTTAATTGTCCTAACTGGATGTCGAGCAGGAGTCTGGTGATGCTTCTTCCGTGCAAGATGCTCATGACTCAACACAATCCCACAAGCTAGCCCAGTACCCTGAAGTGCTGTGTTCTCTATATGACCAGAAGCTAATCCAGTACCCTGAAGTGCTGTGTTCTCTATATGACCAGAAGCTAATCCAGTACCCTGAAGTGCTGTGTTCTCTATATGACCAGAAGCTAATCCAGTATCCTGAAGTGCTGTGTTCTCTATATGACCAGAAGCTAAGATGCAAATGAATGCAATAAAATATGTGTTGAAATCAAAGCCAGAAAAGGTAGTGTAAAGTTTGTATAGTTTTGTAGTAAAATGGATTATCAAAGCTTGATTGGTTGTGTCTTTTGTCCGGCTGGTGAATTATTTATGTGCTTAATTATTTTTGCAGTCTTGGAACATGCTTTTATATCCTGAGCTCTTTTTACTCAAGAGAACAAGACCAAATTTAATAAGAGATTTCATTTTTCAGTGTTTTTAGAGCCCCCAAAAACCCCACCACACAATGTTTAGTATTTTTCATACTTGTGGAAACATGGATAATGAGTCTGTGATGGCCGCTGTAATGAAGCATCACCTGCTTCTTTTTTTTTCCACAGCTGTTGCAGATGCTGTCAGAACGAGCCTGGGGCCCAAAGGAATGGACAAGATGGTCAGTAAACAGGGTTTATGTTTCATCTACCTACTCCCAGTTTATCCCTTTTTTTTTTTCTAAAGTAGACGCTTGTGTTTTTGTTTGTTCCAGATCCAGGATGAGAAAGGTGACGTGACCATCACCAACGACGGAGCCACCATCCTGAAGCAGATGCAGGTGCTCCACCCTGCAGCCAAAATGGTATGTCCTGCTTGACGCTCCATGATGGTGTTTTTTTTTTTCTCCTGCATCAAAGACAGACAAATTCTGTATTCAAACCAAAATTTCAAGTGTTAATTGACCTTTTTTAATACAAGTCACTGTGAAGTAAATGAACTAGTTTTTCAAACCTGGGTTGAAATGTGTACCTGTGTGTATTTCAGCTGGTGGAACTATCAAAAGCCCAGGACATCGAGGCTGGTGACGGCACCACCTCTGTGGTTGTGATCGCTGGAGCCCTGCTGGACGCCTGCTACAAACTGCTGCAGAAAGGTGAGAGCTGCAGAGGACAGAAAACTGACCCCAAATACAATAAATGACTGTCAATTCATTATTTTAAATTCTAATCTCAGTAGTTATGCTTATGTGTGGAGTAGTAGGGAATGCTGAACGTTGTTGGCAAATAAGTGATAGGAAAGAAAAGTAATATCTGATTTTAAAACTGCATTTTGCATCTGATGTCAGTAAACAGTAAAAGTTCACAACTCTTTTTCGCACAATTAAAATTGCTTTTATGTCCAAAGATACTTTATCTAAAATGATGTTGAAAGTACTTTTTCAAAATTAAACAAATTGACCTCAATGCCTCAAACTTCTTAGAAACTGGAGTTTTTGTATCTTTGCTTGTTAATTGACTTTATAGATCTATGGGGTGAAAAATCCAATTTTCATTGATTATTTTCTCCATATTGACATTTCTGTATTTTAGCACTAATGTTAACTTGCTGTCCCATCCATCAGGTATCCACCCAACCATCATCTCAGAGTCGTTCCAGAAGGCTGTGGAGAAGGGCGTAGAGGTGCTGACAGCCATGAGCCGGCCGGTGCATCTGAGCGACCGTGAGACGCTGCTCAACAGTGCCACCACATCGCTTTGCTCCAAGGTGGTATCGCAGTACTCCAGCCTGCTGGCACCCATGAGTGTGGACGCCGTCATGAGAGTCATCGACCCTGCAACTGCCACTGGAGTCGACCTCCATGACATCAAGATCATCAAGAAGCTCGGGTAAGGGATGCTTGAAAGTCATGTTTGGGATGTTTTCTGGTGAAGGAGCATGTATTTGATGCAAATGGATTAAAGATGAACCAAGGTACAGAAATTTAAGACCAATATTTTTCTTTTTTATTGTGGCTATAGAGGGACCATTGATGACTGTGAGCTCGTTGAAGGCCTGGTGCTTACCCAGAGGGTGGCCAACAGCAGTGTGACCCGAGTGGAGAAAGCAAAGATTGGTCTGATCCAGTTCTGTCTGTCCCTCCTAAAACTGATGTGAGTCACCTGATATCATTTGTTCTGTATGCTGCTAATTTTGTTTCATGTTGGACTTTATATTGAGGGGAAGGCATCATCACTCTGTGGAGAAAGGAAAAATATGTGCAAACTTAAATCAGGAAATTAATCTTTGGTCAAGTTTCACAGGATACAGGACATAGCTCGATTTAAAAAAAATATATATTTTTTTCTTTTTTTTTTTTGCAACGTTCAGACGAGATGAAACAGCCCCTTTTTATGTGATCAAAAGTACAATTCTTACACTTCAATTAAAAAGATTTAATTTGAAAAAACGGACAGCTGTTGCTGCTTCCTGTTTGTTTGTGAAGCCAGCGCAATGCTGGGTTTACTACAGCGTTGTGTAGCTTTACACATAACACCAACAACAATAACATTATAAGTTATGATATAAAATATCGGTAGTGGTATCAGTATATGCGTATTGGAATCGGATCGGAACTGGAAAAAAAGTGGACTGGTGCATTTCTCCTTGTTTCTGTTCTCTTTTTACACACACACACACACACACACATGCGTCTTCTCTTTTTACTGACCTGCTGTGTGTTCTTGGCGTTCAGATGGACAATCAGATCGTGGTGTCTGACTACGCTCAGATGGACCGCGTACTGAGGGAGGAGCGCGCTTACATCCTCAACATGGTGAAACAGATCAAGAAGGCCGGCTGCAATGTGCTGCTCATCCAGAAGTCCATCCTCAGGTATACAAACAGGGCTAACATGGGAACAGATAACAGCCGTGTGTCCTGCTGTCAAACTTCAGATATGGGCCGTAAACATGATCCATGCATATAACAAGCTGTCCTCCTAACAGAGACGCCCTGAGCGACCTCGCCCTGCACTTCCTCAACAAAATGAAGATCATGGTGGTGAAGGAGATTGAGAGAGAGGATATCGAGTTTATTTGCAAGGTGAGTGTCATAGGTATTAAAACAGGAGCACTAAAACTGTTGAAATAGTGTAATCTGTCAGTCAGTGGTAGCAAAGAGGGAAAGCAATTTCAAAATCTGTGATCTGACTGCTGCCTAGTCAAGAAGAGGTTGGTTTATTTCACAAAAAGCTAAATAATCACTAAAACTGTGGGGGAAAGCTCATATTCTAACCTCTGACAAAGGCACTCATGTAGCTGTAAATCCTGCATGAGTGTAACGAACTGAGGAACATTAAAGTGGGAAGCTCCCCATTTATTCTCTGGTTGTTTCTGCAACTTGGCTGAGGAGCATTCATACAACTTTAATAAATGACACATTCTGAGAACTAATCTGTCAACTTCTTATGATCAGTCTTTTTGATGTCATATTCATCTTTTTAGTTGCTGTGAATTTGTTAAAACAGCGAAATCTGCAAAAAGGCTACACAAGTTGTTCAAACTTATCTGGAAGAAATCTGGTTCAAACTGGATTGTCAACATCACAATGTGAAGTTTTTTGGCTGAGTAGGAACTATTAGACGAAGGCCATAAGGTAAAAATGCTAATTTACATTATTGCTGTGCGCTACGGAGAAGCCAAACTGGGCAGTTTTATCTTAATATTTTAGTTTTTCTGCAGTCGTCAGATGATGTAAACACGTGTTGATTTAAAGAAATGGAACATTTAAAAGCTGTGATGCTTCTTTGGTAGGATGTATCCTCACACAAATGACATAGTAGTGTTTTGGTAAAATCATTATTGCTTCAAGTTAACCGACGAGATAAAAGAAAATCAGTCCACTAATTGGACTCTGCTTAATATTTAAGCAATCATTTGCTCCTAGAGTGATGAAAAGCACTACAGAGTAGGAAAGTCTCAAATGAAATTCATAAAGGTCTTAATTTTCCTCTGGTGTGGCCCAGGATTAAATCACAAATGTATAAAGTGTTAAGGGTCCGTGTTGGTGTCTTGCATTATGCTCATGACAGAGGAGTGTGTGTGAGTACTGGTATGTATCATGAGGCTTACCTGTGAGCAGTTTGCATGTGTTTGATGTGTTTCATTAAGTCATGGGAACTTCACAAGTAAGATAGCTTATTAACTAGATTTGCGACCTTTATTATTATTGTGGAAAGATTCATTGAAATCAAATTGCTATCTTTAGTAGTTTTTGATGCCATACTTATTCTTCATTGTATTATTACTGACTTCTTCCAGTATTTTCATGACTTACTAAAACTTGGAGAATCTTGACACCCTGATTAAAATAATAAACAATCAAGACAATTCTCATTGATTTGTTTATTTTTGCAAAGAAAAACAAACTCATAGTAAAGTAAAATCTTACCTCCCATCCAGACTATTGGCACCAAGCCCATCGCTCACATCGACCACTTCACTCCAGAGATACTTGGCACAGCAGAACTTGCTGAAGAGGTCAACCTGGACGGCTCTGGCAAGCTGGTGAAGGTAAGCACTCTGGTCTTTCTGCTAAGATCTTACATGAATAGGACCACATATTCTAATGGTTTTAAGTTGCGCATTATACTTCAGGCTTTAAAAACATAACAGCAGAAACAAAAGTGAGAAACTGACACTGATGTGACTTCAGATCACAGGCTGCTCCAGTCCTGGGAAGACGGTGAGCATCGTGGTTCGAGGCTCCAACAAGCTGGTGATCGAGGAGGCCGAGCGCTCCATCCATGATGCTCTGTGTGTCATCCGCTGCCTGGTCAAGAAGAGGTTGGTTTATTTCACAAAAAGCTAACTAATCACTAAAACTGTGGGGGAAAGCTCATATTCTAACCTCTGACAAAGGCACTCATGTAGCTGTAAATCCTGCATGAGTGTAACGAACTGAGGAACATTAAAGTGGGAAGCTCCCCATTTATTCTCTGGTTGTTTCTGCAACTTGGCTGAGGAGCATTCATACAACTTTAATAAATGACACATTCTGAGAACTAATCTGTCAACTTCTTACGATCAGTCTTTTTGATGTCATATTCATCTTTTTAATGGCTGACATTTGTTAACACTAAAATCTGCAAAAAGGCTACACAAGTTGTTCAAACTGATCTGGAAGAAATCTGGTTCAAACTGGATTGTCAACATCATCAGTTAACAGATTGACCTGCTTAAACTTGACACAGTTTTCATTTCATTAAGGTGCACTTACTTTTAGTTTGGCCTTTAAATGAAAAGTGGTTTAGGTAATCTAAGGAGTAATTTTGCCTTTTTTTTTTATAACCTGTCCAATCATTTAGCTTCTTGTGTTTTTTGACCTAGAAGTAGCACGTGGCCTCGTTCTGAATTGAGAAATGAACTGATTATCCTTCAGGATTGAGTTAGATATTTTTATTAACTATCTCTCTACACCTATTTCCCTCCTGCTCTGCTCCTCAGGGCTTTGATAGCTGGTGGTGGTGCTCCAGAAATTGAGCTGGCAGTGCGTTTGGCAGAATACTCGCGTGAGCTTGGCGGCATGGAGGCCTACTGCGTGCGGGCGTACAGCGACGCTCTGGAAGTGATCCCCTCCACGCTGGCTGAGAACGCTGGTCTCAACCCCATCTCCACTGTGACGGAGCTCCGCAACAGGCACGCTCAAGGAGAAAAGATGGCAGGCATTAACGTCCGCAAGGTTGGCTCTACTACTTAAGATTACATTTTTGATGATTATTTAGTAACACAGTGAAGTCTGACTTTGCCTTCATGCTCAAACAAGTCTGTTGTTTAACTTATTTATTCATGAAAATGTCAGCTTCCAGTCACACATTTTCTGGCTGATGTATCTAAGTGAACAGATTTGTTTTGGACTGTTAATAGGAGAAAACAAACAATTTACTGACTTTGCTTTGGCCTCTTAGAACCTGATTTAAGTAAATTGTGATACTGTATTTTTCCCTCTACAGGTAAATTACATGTATTGATGGCGCAGCATTATCTCACTCCATAACTCATACATTAAAATAGGCAGTTCATTCTCTGTCTATTTAAACATTTTTCTCTGCTGTAATCTAACTGACTGACTGGTTAAATGTCTGCATTTGACAGGGAGGAATCTCCAACATCCTGGAGGAACTGGTGGTGCAGCCTTTACTGGTTTCCATTAGTGCACTGACCCTGGCCACAGAGACGGTCCGCAGCATCCTCAAGATCGACGACGTGGTAAGAGTCGGCATTAATAAAATTATGAATTAAAAATACATTTCAAAGATTATGTTTTTAACTGTGCTAAATCAATAGCATAGTTCATGCTAAACCTGAGTATACTGTATTCCATGTTAGGTCTGATAATCTATATATCTCATTGCAGGTGAACACCCGATAAGAAGTCTGAGTCTGTCCTTTAAGTTCTGTACTAAGCCTGCTCGTACTGCGAGGGATCAAAGGACTCTGTCAACATCTGTCTGTTTAGATTTCCCCTGTAACTGTTACGTTGCATAATTTAATAAAAAAAGGCTTGTTTGTTTGTTGACAATTCAGCTGTTGCATGTGCAATTCTTTTTTTTTTCTAAGGGTCTTGATGGTGTTTCACAGAAATTTCAAACACTTAAAAATGCTGCAAAATGAAGGATTTCTAGTTCATGTGCTTGATATGATTTCTAAAATAATATCCACTATAATAAAATGGAGGCCATTTTATTTGATTCATGCATATGTCGGATATCGTTACATATAAATCATTTGTATTGATTTAAATTTATTTTGTTGGAAAGCCATTCACTCAACTAACTACTGTTAAATAATCCATGATTAATTAAGATAATAAACCAAAATGATTCCACTGTGAAACTAAGAACCGCACTCTTCAGTAAAAGAATACATGCACAATGTTTTTGAAAAACGTTTAAATCCAGTTAATCCATTAATTCAAATGAATGAAAATTGATTAAATATGCCTCAAAATATGAATAAAAGAAAAGTTGTATATTCAAGATTTATTATTTCAAATGGTCTTCTATGGCGTCGTGGTATAGTTAAGAAAATCTGGAAAATAATAGGAATAGTTTTTTTTAAATGATTAATTTGAAAAGTTAAATAAAATGTTACGGAAATTCAAAAAGTTCTTAATATAACCAGAACCAACGTGTATTTAGTTTTAAAACATATGCATGACTTAAATGCATAATATGCATGTTTCCCCCGTAAATAGTTTACGCAGTTGGAATGCTTCAGCGCCTTTCTCGCTTCGTCACTTCCTTCCCAACCAAGCTTAGCTGCGTTGCCAAGGAGACACCCTTCAGCCTAGATACCGACACAGGTTTCAGCACGCGGACAGCGACTCTGTTAGCTATTCTAGGGACTTTTCCCACCAAACCTGACTTTAATTACGTTGAATTAAAACAATATATACTGAAGTTCTGCGAAGTCATGGCAAATCCTCACCGGGCCAACGTTCTTGTAACTTCGTGTTTGAAGACGCCGGTGGACCCGCACACCAAAGCGCCTTTAGCTTCATACGAGAGGGAGCGAGTGCTGCCCTACACGGCTACAGGTCATATGGACAACCGGGACTACGAGGAGGTAAAAACAACGATAAAACTCACAAAGCAAAATTACACCATTCAGCAGAAAAGCGGGTGTGAAGCAGTGCGAATGTAACAATATCGACTTAAGTGTACACAACAACTACAAAATCTCTGTCACCACTCATTACTGCCACGCATTCATCAAGTCAGTCAAAGTTAAAGCCTGGTAACTCAACAAAGTTACAGGGAGAAATTGTGACAGGATGAAATATCGACTTCCATGATTAAGATATTTTCTTATTAATGGTGTTGTAAAATTATACAGAGGGGATTAACACTAATGCCAACAAAATGTCAAACAATCCATATTGTAACTTAATGGCAATAAAAACACTTCAACTTTTGCAAACATTGACTTTATTTATTAGAAAAAAGTAGGATCTCACACGAACCAGAGGTAACACAATGTATTAGAGTGATTTAGGATTTACCTCTACCTTTATCTTTATTAACATTCCTAAAGCTTTCACATATATTTAAATCAGTGATTTTGAGTCACAGAGGTCAAGTTCCTCCTAAAATTGGATTCCTACCTATCCTTGGATGGTGTAATATACAATAAAGCCATTAGATATAATATGATTTCCCTTCCTCCAGCAGTACATTTTAATGTAATTAAGTTGAAACGTTTTTATTGTACCAATACAGTTATAGTTTGTTTTGGAGATAAACAATGACTCAGTGTCTGATCTTGCACTGTTGACAAGACTCTGACAGTTCTAGGTCAGTCTGCGTGGTGGAAAGGATTTCACCTGTATAATTTGTTGGCTGGACTATTTTTGGACTTCCGTCTTAAATAGCTTACCGTACTCAACATTTGGTTTATAATCCCAAACAATTTATAATCATTTTTTGACAGCAACACTGCTCTTCCCCCATGCATGCAGCAGTTTTCCCATTTCAATGACCTTCTTGACAAACACTGCATCATGATTTGCAGCAATAGAGCCCGACACCTTGACATGACACTGATTTGTTTGTTGAGCTCTTTGGTGGTAAGCTTCACCATATGGCCCACGTCACTGGAGCTGCAGTTTAGGATAGGCAGTAATAGGCTTAGTCCTGGAGGAGACTGAATGCGTCTGAGCAAGTTGGTTCCACTCCAGGAGGCCTAGCGGTTAAAACAAAAAGAAACATATATATTTGTTGTAGGCTACATCATGAATCATAAAGAAATCATTATCATTAATAAAAAAAATCATACAATGCACAAGTGAAATCATAAATCTTTCCCGTTGAGACAACTTTATTACTCAAGATTTGGACAGAAAGTGATCACTGATTAGAAAATTAGCTTTAATTATCTTGTTACCTTTTCAGCTGGAGTATGAGGACTCAGGCTCTGATTACTGTGACGAGGATCGCCTAGGGAAGGACGCTCCTTTTATGTTGACTGACTTCAGGGCAGCAGGAGACCGCTTCGATCTGAGCGAGATCTTCTTCTCCAACGAGGAGTACTACAGCAAGCTGGAGGAGCTGAAGAAGGCTCACCTGCGCACCATGGCAGAGCTGGAGAGTATGTACCGGCGGAAGCTGCAGCTCAAGTCCATGGAACCTTTGGACATGGCAACACTGGAGACCGGGCAAAGGTTGTAGGATATTTTTTTTCTTCGTAATTTTAAAATGAAATGAATATGTATCGGCTTCTCAAGCTTTTGCTCAGAGTTGACGCCTTCCATAAAAATAACTGTGATTACTAAATCTTACTTCATTTCACATTTAGGTGTTGCTTAATCAGACTTTTAATCAATCATCAAAATTTATTTGCATAGAATCACTTTACAGTAAGAAAACACAACGACAAAACAAATACAAATTTTAACTTGGTTTATAATCTAAAAAAACTAAATCAGATAAGCTCAATTATGGTAACGGAAAGAGGAGAAATTCAGAATATATCTTTGCTAAGAGTAAACATAGCACCATGGTGATTTAGAGTGATGTGTCAATTTCTGATTCTGATAGGTAAATTGTCATAGTAACAGTCATTCATGTGTGTTTTGTCAGGTTCCTGTGGTCAAACAACAGCCCAGAAGCTTCTCGCTTTTTGAGGAAGTCCTATTCTGCCTTTGAACTCAGGAGAAGCTCTGGACAGTTAGATCCCTCAGAGGAAGATGAAGCTGCCAGCAATTATGTGGAGAAAGGCCTGCTTTTTTCTCCCAAAGAACACATCAAGAACATGTGGCAGGACTTCAAACTGTCCCCTCACAATCGCCACCTTTCTTCCTCTTCGCTGCACAGCCTGCCAACACACCATAAGAGACAACAAAAAGGCAAAGGAAAAAAGAGGCATGGGCAAAAAGATGGAGAGCATGATCTCTGGAAGCACAGAGTGACAATACCCAAACCTTTTCACATGATGCTGCGAGAGGCTGAGAGGAGAAAGCATGGCATTAAGACACGTTCAGAGATTGAACAAGAGAACGCAGAACTGAGACGACAGCTGGAAGACCTGACAGAGTGCCAGAGAAAGTTCAGAGCCAGCCCTGTACCTGCTCACATTCACCTGCCGCTTTATGAAGAGCTTCAGGAGCGGAACGAGGAACGACGTCGATCAACAAGAGAGCGTGAAGAACAGCCTCATCAAACCAACCAAAAGCCGTTCAGCTTTCTGGAGAGGGAGCGGCTGAAAAAGGAGCAGAAACAGCTACATCAAGCACAACAGTCCAACCAGGAGAAAACCAAACCCTTCAAGGCCAAACCTGTTCCAAAGTCTGTGTACGCAGCAGCATCGGGGGAGCAGATGAAAGAGGAGCAGCTGTATCGGTCCATAAAGATACAGATGAGAGCTCAGGAACTTCTACACAGTGCTTCAATGCCTCCTAGCATGCTTGCAAGACGACTCAGTGATCGCAAAAAGACCAAAGACAGCAGCTCTGCAGGAGATGACAATTTCTCCCATAAACCCGAAATAAACAAGGAGGTACCTGACTTTGACGCCAGTTACCGACGCTTCAGAAAACAACTTGAAAAACAAAAAGAGATAAAACCCACAACTGCATGTGAACCCTTTGAATTGAGAACATCACAGATATCCTCGCACCGTGAACGCATCCTGGCTGACATAGAGAAAGAGCAGGGCAGCCCTCGGATGCTGCGATGGCCACACATCAGCCCTGGGCCAGCTCGAACGCCAAACTCAAGCCTCTGTTCATCCCTCTCTGGCAGCTTGGAGACCCTGCCCACCAAAGTCACAGACGCTACCAAGAAACGCCATGAGGCTGTGAGGTACTGTTTGAAGACTCCAAAGGCTTCCGGTATTTTGTTTAAGATAGACAGAACTCAAATATCCTGTTTAGAAATCATGACCTAAACACGCCCTGTGTTCGAAATCCCAAATGGAACTCCCAACACCCCCTGCACTTTACCCACAACCTCACACCCAATCCATAGCCATCATCCTGCCCTATCCAAGTCCCCACCTCTTCTAAACTTTTCAGCATTCGTGACCAGATTGTCTTCCTGAGTAGAAAGGTCCTGGAGCAGAGGAAGAAGGCAGAGGAGGAGGAGGAGCGGTGGAAGGAGAGGCAGAGGCAGAGGGAGAAGAAGCTGCAGAGGGTGGTAGTGAAACGTGCCCAGGCCAATGACCCCCACAAGGCGCTATCACAGACTCAGCAAACCAAACTCAAAGAATTCAGGTACACTAAACAACAGCATGAACACACCAAGAGCCTAACTGTTGTGAGTGGAATAGCATAAAATATAATACTGTGTTTTCCCCAGGAAACAAGAACTTCAGCGTAGGAAGGAGTACCAGCAGGAGATAAAAGAGATGAAGCAAAGAGTGAAAGGGAGGCCACTGCTGTTGGAGCAGGTTGCACAGGTGAATTAAAAAACACAAATATAGTCATGTATGGCAAGAAGACAAGAAAATAAATCTTAAGAGGAATGTAAAGTGGTAGAAAAATAAATGCTGGAACTGAAAAGATGGTATCCTTGTAACAAAAAAATACACGTCAAACATTTAATCGTTGCTGAACAAACTGCTTGACTGTGTTTGTTTTTTTTTTGTTTTTTTTCTGGATAACCACTAAATAGGAGATCCTGCAATTTACATTCGTTGAAGTTGTTTCCCACAAACCTCATCTTTATTTGCTGTTGAAGTAAAAGCTCACTAGACTTTTATTCAGAAAAACAGTGAATATCCACTAACACGAGTGTGATACAGACTGCATGAAAGAATGAGGAAATTAAGCAGTGTTTCTGGCTCTGAAAGAGGGAGGAGACTGGGAGAAACTCAGGATTCATTAAAGAAAACCTTCTCCCGACCAGGTTAGGTTCACAGACTCAGTTACCATAGTAACTGACTAAGAGCTAAGTTACCTCCCTCTTTGGAACAGGCTGAGTTACCCATCTTTCTCAGGTTTGAGTGACCTCTCTTTCTGAAACAGAAAAGTTTCCCTCATTTTTAGGGTTAAGTGACTCAGTGTTTGCACAAAACCTGCTTACTGAAACGGGCCCCAGATTAATCTATCTGTATCTTTGTATGTGTTGTGAAGTTAAAGTTGCTTTTAAATAGGGTACTGGTGTTTTTTTTTCTTATATTGTTTCTCAATTTTTGTATGTTTTCTTTTCATAAATTATGGTTCCATTTAGACTTTATCACATGATTAAGCAGGGTGCACCTCAGGGACACATTTCATAGGTTTTAAGCTGCTTTTATATAATAGATGCTGTTCAGGAAATGGTGAGCTGAAAATTGATGCCAGGACTAGGTCAATTTAAGGAAATGTTAATGAACTAAGATTTGGAGAATTTATTGCCTTAATTGCAGGATAGCATTAATATCCTAGACAGATGTTATCCAACAGTGTGAGAGCATCTGTGTGGGTTGTTCCATTACAAACAGCATTATTGCAATGTCTTTACTCACACATTTTATTTGATGCTTTCATAACAGAAGAATGCAAAACAAACAGCACAGAAGCGCTACACAGACACTCTGCATGGATGTGAAGTAACTGAAGAGTTTATCAGCAGCAAGGCAGGAAAAGCAGGAGACTCCTCGTCCTCCAGCGGACAAGCGAGGTAAATATGGGATGTTAATGTGGTGCAAACTTATCTTGACGCTCAAGTTTACAGACCCAGCCAGTGTAATTCCTTACAATGTAATTTTGGTATTTTCAAATCTTGGCCTTATGTTACGGTCCCTGAGATGGCTAAAGGATGAGGGAAGTAACAATAAAAATGAAACACAAGGTTGAAGGTAGGAACAAAGTATAAGCAAGTTTAAATAGACCATTTTGTCTTCTTTTTCAAGATTTTTAGAGCAAGTTTAACATATCAAACAAACAGCCACTGCAGTTTTTGCACATCTGTCCACCCCAATTTCACACATACGAAGAGGCTGCATTATTTCATAGAAATTTACATTGGGAGGTATTAATAAGATTAGGCCAAATGAATGAACAAAACAGAATAAGTGAGAGGAATTCTATGCTTGATCCAAAGGCAATTGGACTAGGTTATAGAAGTCCAGTTGCCTTTGGATCAAGCTTTGAAATTTACCATGACCTGGATGACTGAGAGGAAATGTATGTGTGAAACCAGCATTATGTTGGGGATAAAGCTGATGCCACACTGAATTAGCCAGTCAATTATATTGTTTTCTTTACTATGTCAAATATGATTAAAGTAAGATACCACCCAGTCTAGTTTGTTCTTATATTTCTTTTTGAGCTGCTTCCAGGTTTGCTCTTCTCCCATTTAATATTTTCATAAATTAAAAAGGGAAAAACTGACCTCAAAGAGAGAATATGTCTTTTTTAATAAAGGAATTGTTTATGATTCTCTTGATTTTAAGACTTTAAATTAACAAACTTTATGTTTGATGGTAAATCAGAAAAATAATCAAATCAGGAGTGATACACTTTATTCTAGTTATGCTTCATATTTTATTTTTAAATATTTATTTTTGTGCTGAAAATTGAACTCTGTATATCAAGCTGTTTGTGTGATTACTATTAATAAATAATGGTAAAGCTACATTAATAGTCTAATCAGATGATTTTCTTATGTTTGTTAGTGACCAAGATGAGACAGACACTGGACATGAACCTGTTCTCTACAGAAAAGTCTTTTTGGATGATGAAGACCTTGAAGTAGACCCAAAGGAAGGAGGAGGTAGTGATGAGGCTTCATCAAATCACCACGATGGAGAGGACGCCAGCAGACAGCTCTCAGATCAGGATGATCAGGGGGATGATCGACACTATTCAGATGACAGTTACCACTACTCAGACGATCATGAGAACTACTCAGACGACAGCGAGCATGATGTCGACACCAAACAGCAGGAAGCAGGGGAGTGATGTCATCAAACATCAAGATAAAGTGTTTTGCACCCCTGCAAAGTTCAATCACTCTTTATTGGGAAAACTGGGAAGAACTGTATAAATAAAAGCTAGGAGGAACACTAAAGCTGGAGCTTCTTATTCCCAGAAGGATAGATGCTATATTTTGGTGTAAATATTGTGCACATAAGGATTTAAAATGGGCTCTCAAATAATCTAAAATATCTCTAACCTAAGGTGTCTGATATCTCTTCCTTGTATAGAAGATAAAATGTCTAGACTTTACACACAGTTTACACATCAAGAGATTTTTGAAAAAGCCATTAGCACTCTATTTTATTCCACTTATCAGCAACTGCCGAGATATTAAATTGGTGTATAACAATGGTTCTGTTCTTTTTTTTCTCTCAAGGGTCCCAGAAACAGACTTTCCCAAATCTGTACTCATTCATAATTCTACACAGTTTTACCCACTTATCTATATACATCTCTATATCTATATCTATATACATATATATAATTTGCAATCTTTTCTTCAATTAAACTAGTTAATCATTTTTCCACTTCCTAACAACACATATTTGGCCATGATAAATGATTTAGTAATTCACACATCTGCTTATTATGATTGCATTTGCAACAAAGATTTTTTTCCATTAAAGTTTTATGAGAGTTTTAAGAGAAATTATCTGTGATATTATCATTATACATCAATAATTTTAATACAGCAACAAGTTTTTTCTGCAACAGTATGGCTCTCCGTTATGGGTTTTGAAAGTATATATAGTAGATTTTGTTTGTTAGTTGGTACTTCGGATCCAAGATGGTGAAATGACATCTACGACCTCATACACTAAATTATATTTAGTGCAATTTAAAATAAATCTTATTCAAAGTATGATAAAGATAAAGATAAACTTTATTGATCCCCCATGGGGGAAATTTTTGCGTTACAGCAGCTCAATACAACAGGAAACAGGAATATAATTATTAAAAATAAAAATAAAAATAGTTAAAAATCAAACATATTTACATCAGTTAAATAAAAAAAATGCGATAATAGAATATTACACGGTATCTACACTTCCACTTAGTCATTATGGGATAAATTATTTTGCACTCGGTCGTCAACAATAATTACACTCATTTCAAAACAATCATTAATTTTTTTGAAAATACAAATTTTGTTAGTTCAGTTTACGGCCCATTTTCCATTTCACCCATTGTCAGGGGTCAAACTGGAGCCAAAACAGAGGGAGGGAGTTGACTCGGATTGACAGCTACGCGTAGCCCATGACACAACATGACGACAGCACCAGCGCAACCAATCAGATTCTCAGTGGGCGGGAACATAGTCCAAATTTTACGCGGCGCGCGACGGGCCGAAACACCGAGAATGAATATCCCGGTCTCAACCGGTTTTAACCGGTCCGTGGTTGGAAGCATGAGCTTAGAGGAAGAGCACACTTGCACGCATTAAAACATCTCTGCTCTCCAACAGTGAATGCGGATAGAATCAGAAATAAAAAGGAGAATTTAACTTGGTGATTATGACCCGGAATACCGCTCAAAGTGTGACTCCGTGAAGTTGTGTTGTTAGCTTAGCTCATGTTAGCCAGCAGACTTGAATCATCATTGACTTTCCATTAGCATGCTAAGTTGCTACTAGTCTAGTGGGAGTCGACTGCAATCACTGATAGCTAGAGAAGGATTTATCTTGGACTGGTTGAAGACAAGAAACGATAGGTCGAGGAAAACTGCGGGAGCTTATAATAAAAGGCCAAGAACCGTAAAGTATACAACGTAACAGTATTTCAAGTTAGCGCTGTTGGTGTCATACAGGAAAGCTAACTAAAGGCTACGAAGGTTAGCAGCAGGTGAAACTTGTGCCATGAGGTAACATCACACAGTGGCTTTGAACGAGAAGATACATATTCTTCTTTGAACTGCTAGCTACAAGCTAGTCTATACTTGTTTTCGACGACCGGACAGAACACCCCAGGTAAGTCGAGCCCGATCTCCACTAACCTGCTCACCCAGCGTGGGCTAACGTTAGCATCCGTTTGAAAAACATGTTTTAGACTGGGTAGCAACGGTTACTAAGACTGGACACAACACATTGTAAAGTTAAAGAGGGACTTCTTACTCCTCCTAATGTTTTACACTAATGCAGAGTCATGAAACTGCCCTTAATCATCGCATTACATGGCTTACAGTCAGATTGTGGCGGATACATCAAGTCAGCCAGTAGGAGGCGCTGTTTCCTGTTTTACAAGTAAATAGATATTTTCAATGGGTGTCCCCACATTTACACATTTTGGCTGACAGCTGGGGTTCAACCAGCCGCGACCCCAAACGGGACAAAGGATTGATCTGAGATAAACATGGTTTTGATACACTGCTGCCAAATTTTAAAATAACAGTGACCGTGCTTGTAATACCAGAGTTGACCTTTCTTAATCTAAAGGACAAATGTAATGACCAGTTTGATTTCTGTACTTTGTAGTATTGCATTGCAAATATAGGTGAAATGCGAAAGTAGTACCTTAATTAAAAGCTTTTTTTATTTTTTATTTTTTTTTAAGATGTTGATATCATCTATACCTGTAGATTTGTGTAATTATGGTACACACACATGCTTCTGTGGCTTAAGTAAAAATAACCCCCCCCCCCCTCCACTCCTCAGAAGCTCTATGCCAGCAGAAATGACGATGTTGGCCGATCACCCAGCCAGACAGCTGCTGGACTTCAGTCAGAAACTTGACATCAACCTCTTGGACAATGTTGTCAACTCCATGTACCATGACATTGGCTCCCAGGTTAGTACGGCTCCTATCCATTGTGGGTTTCCACCTTGTGGATGAGATTCACAGGACCTCCTCATTGGTTAAATGATCCCCAAAACCCTAAGATTTAAGGAATGGAACGGGTGTGCTGTGTTTCTCTCTCGTAGCAAAGAGTGGCCCAGGAAGTTCTCACCAACCTGAAGGACCATCCAGATGCCTGGACGAGGGTCGACACCATTCTGGAATTCTCTCAGAACATGAAAACTAAAGTATGTACTAGGGATAACATTATCCATTTATCTGGATCAATCCATCGATTGGTTGAAGAAAGAGCCAATCAATTTGATGGAAAGACAAAACATTGATCCTGGACAGTTGCTTGCTTTTGCTCTCTCTTTGAGGGTTCTTTATCAGTCTGTGAAAACTTTTAACCCCCCCTATTAATCAAAATCAAGATTCCTCTAAAACACAGTGTGACTGTGTCACAGATTCAATCCAATTCTGAATTATGTTTAAATTTGTTTTTTTGACACAAATGCTAAACAAAGCTCAAGTGTGTCATACAATGTTGAACAAAACCACATGAGCTATAGGCAGGCTTCTTTTATACCGCGAGAGAAGTATCAAAGGATTATTGAGTGCAGAAAGACGATTACTATTTGAGTCCACGTGTGTGTAAATGTATTCAAAAGAAATAAGAGGACACAAGATTTGATCATGATTACACAATTGTGCATAAAAGGCACACATCCTTTTATCAGAATGCAGGAACATAAATGATAAATGCTCAGTGTTTGGTGCTTAAAAATTCACTGTGGTGAGAAACACACTTTTAAAACAATGTTCATATTTATTTTTGTTAAATGTAAAAAAAAAAAAAAGTTTACACCTATAAAAGAAAAATGTGGAACTTCAGGGTTTTCATATTTTTGTCAAAAAGTATTTTATTTAAATGTCAAAACAGTTCAGGAATGAAATGGTCAAAACGCATCAACATTATTATTATTGTTTAGGTGAAATGTAATTGATTGTGTTAAATGGGTACATACTATTTTATGATTCGATGGGCCCCTGAGTTGAATAGATATCGTATTGTGGCATACTTTGTGATATTGGAAAATATCTTAATGAAACTAGTGACTTACATCCCTAGTGTATACCAACCTGACGGATTCTTGTTGCCAAGAAAAGCCGCCTCACATCAGCTGCTATTTGACAGTCTCTCAGGATCAATGAAATAATAATGTGAGATGATGTTTATCAGTTTGTCCACATTAGGAAGAGGCTTTTAGGGTAGTGAGGTTTGAGCTCTCATTCTGCTTTTGCTTCTCTGTATTTACAGGATTTTTCCAGCTAATGGAAGCTTACTGTGATTAAAACTGTGCCGCTTTGAAGAATTACTGTAATAGTTTTCCATTCATGTGTGTTTTGTGCACGCTGTGACAAATATATGACATCACTTTGCATTGATGTTGCTTGGTACAAGTCTAGCATACTTTATGCAATATAATCTGAAAAGACACTTTAAACCAACCTGTCATGCGTCACAGGAATGCGCAATGCATTGTATACATAGAGACACAACACATTGTGAATGACACACTCCATTCAAATTTCTACCTCCTGAGCTCTTGTCAAAGTCAGACTGGTGTTTTCATTAAGAAAATGCTGTTTTCCGAGGGCAACAATTAGTGAATTTGTCAATTCTAACCTCAATCACAGCATTAGTCAGATTAGGTTGTGACATGAGTTGGCGGCACTGTATTCTTATCAAAAGGAGAGGTTTCAGCGGAGAAGAGAGGCTGCAGGCATTCACAGACTCTAGATTGAGGTGGATTTCATTAGCATATCTGATCAACCTCAGAGTTATACAAAGCACATAAGTTTACATGATTAACTGTTCATTCTTCACCATTGGAGTATTTCTTTAACTTAATAATTCAGCACTCTCACATCTTAATTTCATCGGGTTAGCAGGTTTTTTTTAAATACTTTGACATTCCAAAATGTGGTAGAAGAATGTGTAAATGAATGAAGATGTAAGAAGTCGCAATTGCCACAAACAGTGCCCTTTATTCATTACTTAAATTGAATAAGTTTCCCTTTACAAAAAAGGACAATTTTCTGATAAATTGGTACACCAGAAAACAAGAAAAAAGTGTTAAACATTCAAGGTTTCCCGGTCAGGACCTCTAGATTTTAGACCTATTTTCATTTTATTATTATTAAAGTAAGTTAATTTCTCAAGGAGCTTAAAGTATATTGGGGACTCATTTGATTGGAATTGGACTCACTCAAATCATCACCTGATAGTCCTGAGGACTCAGCACATTTTTAAACCTATCAACATCACTGGATTTGATTGTTAAATGAATATGTCTAATGTTTTTATTCCAGAT